CCAGTCCCGAATAAAACTTTAAAAAAAGAAAAAAGTAGGATCTGGGAACCCTTTTAAGTTATAAATAATAAATTAGTTAGAATATTAAAAAATGAAAAAAAAAAAACAGCAAAAACAGTTAATGCAATGAGATTTTAGACTTTTCGGCGGCCCCCTCAGAACTCGGGGCCCTGGCCCAGGGTCCATGCTTAAAAATGGCTCTGTCTGGGTATCAATCAAGATGAGCTGATGTGGCAGAGGTGTTCAGAATTTTGGCATTATCGAAATCAAACTTATCTCCAAGATGCAAAGAATGTGCAGCAATAGATTTATCGCATTCTTCAAAAGAGACTTATCTACCGTGTTTCTTTCATATAAATTTTAAAACCCGCCTGGTTTATACAATATAGCCAAGGTTGCACTGGCAAGGAATTCCTCCCCTGTTTCACTCTCTGCTACCATAGTTTTTCCATATCTCGTACGCGTCAAACATTTGCTTCGAACGTTGCCATTCTCAGGGCTTGTTAGATATTAATGACTCGTGACGTGAATTTTTGAGCGCTCAAAACATGTCGAGTTTTATTTTAATACGTTTTGAAGATAGAAGTTCTTTTAAATATACATATAGTAAATTTTTATTTTCCCGCTTCAAGTTCTGAGGATTATTCAATAAGTGACACAGTATATTACTTAAAATACTAATTTTAGTATGCTAAAATCAGTTTTACGTAAAATAATAGTTATGGCTCTTAGATTGTAAAAAATATATAATTCGTCAAAACTTTCTAAGAAATTGAAAGCAGTACATTTTTATTTATTCATTTTTTTATTTCATTCATTAATTTATTTTTTGATTGCTCCTCTTTTTTTTGGGGGGGGGGGACGTTAAAGAATTCAGTTTACAATTAAAATTTCAAAAGTCGAGTGATACAATGGAATGACCTTTTTCTCCTGGAATCAAAGTTTAGTAATTACAAAGTCAATTATTTCGAAGAAGTTAACGTCTCCGTGCTATTCGAAATTTTGGAAAATATATTTTTTATTTAGAGATCCAAAATCTATTTTAGATATGTCTTAGTGTATACTTAAGGACATATTTCAATAGGGTTTATATTTTACCTGTATTTTATTTTCTGCTTAAATTACGCAAGTTATAAGATTAAATGTAAGAATAATAAGTAGGATGGGAAACAGGCCTTTTCACTACTTTTCCTGCAGCTCTTAACAAAATAAAGGAAAAATTTAATTTAATAAGTTTAATTGTTTCTAACTTTTTCAAGCAATTAAATGTTACTTTCAAACAGATTTTAATTCTTTGGTAAATTAAATCATTGTCAAGTTTCATTTGAGCATAAATAAAACATTAACAGTCTTGTCTTTTAACGGCGAAATAAAATAACTATTTCTATTTATTATTTTTAAAAAAAGTATATTAAAAATGTACTATTTGCTGACCATATTAATTACAGCTATAAAATAATTTGTTATTCAAAAATCTCTTAATATATCTTTTTTCAGTATTAAAGAAATTCTAAAGTTAAAAAAAGAACAATTTTTTGAGATGATGATTCTAAAAATAGCATGGTTTTGGAATTTTTTTACAATTTTCTATTTTAAGTATTTGCTGTTTAACACAATAAGGCTCAAGCATTTTCCTGATATAACAATATTTTTACTGTGCTAAAGTTAAGAAATAATATTAACAACTTTTTGAAGCAAATTTTTCAACATTAGTCTTAATAAAAGGGCAACTTTCTTAAAACTAGTGGGCGAGAATAAGTGATTATTTTAAGATTAAGACAATACATAAGATGTTGAGAAATTTTAAGATACTTAACTATATATTATTTATATGACTACGTATTGTTCATATTTATAATTATAAAATATATATTTATGAAATTGCTAGATATATAATTCAAATCTATAGATAATTTATGAAATTGCTAGATATATAATTCAAATCTATAGATACTTAAGTATATTATTGAACTTTTATCAATTATTGGAGAAAAAAAAATAGAATTAAAAAAAGTTGACGCATAATCACATTCTATCAGAAACATGCTTTTATAAAACTCGACTTTCGTTGAATAAAATGTTTTATTCGAATTTCTTTATTAACTTATGAATACTAAAAAAGGAGCATTGCATTTTATAAAATAAAATAAAAAGGATTAGCAATCGGTTATTAGCAAAAAAAATATGAATTAAATTTTACGCTAGGCGCACGCAAGTCAAGTTCGAAGTTCCTCCTAAGTTAACCAAATTTAAATAATCGCTCCACTTAAATATTTCTTCATTGCGGACAAATAATTTTTTTTTTAAATATTTCATTTTTCTCGGCTTCTTCTAAATAAAAATAGGTGAAACTTTAGATTTTTCAATAGAAAAATATGTAGATTAATATGGTATAAAAAAAATTATACCTCATAACTCAAAATTTTTTCATTCACAATTAAATTAAATATTGAAAAATAATTATTAAAAATTATTTTTACCTTAAATAATCTTTGGGTAAATGGGTTGAAATTTTCTTTTGAAATGCGTAATTAGTTCAGGGTGGCCACTCAAATCAGGTTTCAAATTTCCCTGATTTTTCCAGTAAAAATGTTAAAATTTCCAGGTCAGCGTGTTTTTTTTTTTCGCTCATAAAGTGTAGTATACGTACAAGAAAAGTGCTAATATTAGTGTATTAGTCAATATAATAGTGTAGTATTTCATTTAAAATGTTATTTTTTAAATATATCATCTTGAATAGATGTGGAGGAAACAATATGTTTAGTTTGCAGAAAATAATGCTTCTAATGAATAAATTTTTTTTAAGTGTTAAATGGTTTTTGCACAAAATGTACCAAAAAGCATAAACTTTTTTATGATAAATTTACGTCTAAATAAAAGTGGATATAATGGATGGTAAAATAATTTAAATTAAGAGAAAAATTCCAGCGTTTTTTTGAGATTCCCTGATTTTTCCAGGTTTTTATCTAAATTTCACTCACTTTTCCAGTATAAAAAAATTCCAGGTTTTAAAGGTGGGTGGCCACCCTGTAGTTGTAAAAATATGACTAGAAACACAAAAAGTGAAATTAACATTAAGGGGTCTGAGCTTTGAATCTCTCTCCTGACCAAGCTATGGAGACCATATTTCCCAAATTGTGGCTACCCCCTATGTTTTGAAGGTTAAGAATCCAAATGTGTAAAAAAAAAAATGTGTGTTTACTCAGAGAAAATATGTTTTCGTGACCTAATTAATAGTTAGCAGTAAATAATTAGCATATTTAAAGTCACTCCCAGGAACTATTAAGATTGACACTTAGTACCTAAAAATCCGATTATTAGAACAAAAGTTACAGGCGCGACATCTTTTTTTTCTTGCACACGGTCACTGTACAACAGTCGGTAAACCTTTGACAATAATTGATTTGAATAGAATCACTTTTTGTCTTTTACCTGGATATTGTTTGAACGCAGGCGGGCAAGTTGTCTAGCTTCTTCTGCTTTACAAAAAAGATGCACAGCATAATCAATTTCAAATCCAGGTTGATTCGGGAACATAGTATCTAAAGTGGTTTCAGTTTCATAGCCGTGCAGAAGATAGAAAGGCATGAAACTGGTAGTCTCTTGTTTGGTGGTGTTATATGCAAACGTGACAAAAGTTAGAAGGTTTTGTTCGACCTAAACAATTTATCAGTCAATGTATTGTTGAGAGCCGCGATGGCTCAGGGGATAGAGCGTTCGCCTTCCAATGAGGTGAATCGGGTTCGAATCCCGGGGATTGCTGGTTGATACGAATCCTGCATCCGGCTTGCACCCACCACAGTGCTGATGGAAAATATCTTCAGTGGTAGACGGATCATGGGTTAGAGTCGCCTTGCTGTCAGGCTAACCGTGAAGGGCTTTCCTCTCCATGTAGCCCAAATGTGGGTCAGTTCAAAGACCTCCTCAAAAGCAAATTTCTCCCAATATTCGATCAGAGAGTTCCTTTGTCTTCTAGATTGGGTTCAAAATGACAAGGCTACGGAGTTGAACATTGATAGTTGTAAACCCAAAAAGTTGGGTCAGCTGTTCAATGATGGTTAAAAAATAAAATGTATTGTTGAAGGGCCTGGATAGCCTGGTTGGTAGGGTGTTGAACTCTTGTTTGAGAGAACGGGCATTCATAATTATTAGGGAATAAAATCAATAAATGTAGCAGAAAGAGGAATTAATTTGCTTTTCCAATAAGCTTTGTGTCTTTCATTTTGAAATTCTCCCCAACATTGGGTAGATCCACAAAAATGAATTTTTAACTGAAATTTTCCTGTGTTTAATGACTTTTCTTTTCAGAACAATGGGGATACATTTAATTAGGCTTCTTTGCCAGGCTACATACACGATATTGGTAACCAATAATTACTAAAAGTCGTTTTACCACCATTTGAAAAGATAGTCGGAGGCCCAGTTCGATTTTCCAGCAAGAGCCCTCAATTCACTTTGCAAAATCTTCACCAAAATGTTTTCGGGGATGAAAGGGTGCACATTATTGAATGGTCAACCCTGTTCCTTGATTTCAATCACCATGAAATTAAGAGGTGACATCCTTGATAGGGCTGTATATACTTAAGATAAAAAGTTTCAGTCTGTGGCTGAATTTAGGAATGCAATAAGTGAATAGGGAAAAACTGGTGTTAGTGCCCTCCAAGGATCCTATATTTCAAGTCAGACATAAATATGCTGGATATGATAGCTATCGATAAAAGTGCCCTTTTTTGAAGAAACACTTTCCCATTCCTTAATTACATATTATGAATCCAATCTAAGTATGTAGAATGTAAGTAAAGATGTATTTGTGTATAGAGTTTACAAATAACACATTTCATTCTCATTGTTTTTCTTTGAATCCATTTAAGGCAAAAAACAAAGGCAGCTATATTTCAGTGAAACATATCTAATAATAAAAATTTCAACACAATTCTCTGTCTTGAAAATCGTTCTTTTTAAAACAGATAGAAAACACTGACAGACATCATTCAGTAATATAACATAGTAAAATTTTTTTAATGAAATATTAATATTTACATTTTTATATTAGATTAGTTACATAGCTCCGAACATTTCATTATTGCTGCGGCTTCGTCAGTAGTGTTCCTTAAAATAGCTTTTAATTGTTCATTTGATAATGTACTAAAATTCTCTTGAAGATAACTTAGAACGTTATGTCGAAACAAACGTTCACTTTCTTTTGCTGGAGCATTTCTCGTTCTCGGGACTTTCTTTTCTGTTAGACTCTAAAAAAGAAAAGTTTATGTAGTGAAGGTATTAGATTTTAACTTTATCATGAAATTTATTTTTAATTAAAAAGAAAACTAAAAATACTTTGGGAAATTCCTGACATTAATATCATATATATGTTCTTTGTTTTTATCATTTAATGCATACTCAATTTTGTATACTCTTCAAAAAGAATATATCATTCAAATCATTAATTTATTTTCACAAATTAGATTGACACATTTGAGTTTGGCACAAATAATAAAAAATTTTATTTCATGACTTTCTAATTAAAATTGTTACAAGTTGCCACTAGTGTGACAATTATCCTAGCTTTGACGATAAAAAAAATTCCTATATATTTGAAACATTTAAATAAGCAACATAAGATAACAGATACATAACTAAACACTACCGCAATTTTTCTAGTGCGATTTGTTTGCTTCTGCACAACTTCAGTTGGTTTCAAAATTTTTTAAAGAAATTTCAGTGATAGGATTATCAATTAAAACACCATGAACAGTTCGTACAATTAAAAATACATTTAAAATATTATTATAGAAAATACATCATATAGCTGCAATGTATGCAGCCAGAGAGAGATGATGTTTGATTTTTATCCCAATAATAAAACCATGTGAATGGTGGGCGATTCATGGGGACACTTTTTACTTTTCATTTCTCTTTGTTATTTCAATGGAAAAAAAGAAAGTTTGAAATTTAATAAAAACATTTAAAATTGAGAGTTTTACTGTGGTGCATTTGGATGTAAAGAAAACTTAGTCTAAAGAAAACAATTTCAAAGATAAGTTATTTTATCAGGTTTCAGAGTTACACTTGTATTATTTACTTTATCACATTTGCATGTAGATCATTATATAAAATTACATACTAGGCTAAGTTTTGGTGACATTCTGCTCCTTTCCTGCTTTGTTTAGTTATGTTAAACTTTGTTTTACTCTATATATTGCACTTGAAAGAATAAATTCTTTAATATTATTCTTAAGGCCTGGATTGCCTGGCTGTTATGGCGTTCCTGAGAGTGAAAGTTTGATTCTAGCTGAGGAAATAATCCCTACAGATTAAATGGTAACTGGTGCAACATAAATCTGTTGGTGTCACAAAGACCTCCAAGTTCCCATAACAAATCAATACCTCTGGGGTTACTGGTACCTCTCACCTCTTGTCTTCTGGGTAAGGTTCAAAATTACAAGTCTACGGAGTTGAACACTAATGGTCGTAAACTCAAATTTGGATTGGCAACTCAACAATGGTTAGAAAATAATATTTTTTTAAAATTTCAGCAGCTTGCTTTAAGTTAATTTAGTTAATAAAATATATATACTCAAGGAAAATAAGTGTTATGAAAAATTTTAAAACTATATGATAAATACAATTTGATATGCAAAGGTATTTTTAACAATTTATAGTTCCTCTATGGAACTGCCAGCCTTTTTTAACGCAATAATATATTTAAAAAAAATAAAAGACTAGCAGTGGTGTCATTTCAGGAGTAAAGTTAAAATAAAATCCAAAATTTTAAAAGAGTTAAAATTTTAAAGATTTTTTTGAATTAATTTTAAAATAACTTTTAATCTAGCTAGTCTGAAATAGATTTCAATCTTGTTTACTAAAGATTGAGTATTTTACTGTTCTGCAAACATTGAATCTGAATTCCCAAATCTATAAACTTTCCTTCCTTGCTTTAAAAACAAACAAACCAAAAAAGAGAACTAGTTTTATCTATCACACGGCTACCTTCTTTCTAAACCAAAATTGTTGAAAGACATGGACATCGTGACTCTGATGTTGGGGACAACAAGATATAGAAAAAATATAGCAGTACACTTCCTCTACCTTGACCGCAGCTCAATGATATACATCCCTAACTATATAAAAATTTAAGTTGAAATATTAATATATATATTCATAAATGTTTAAAAATACAGAAAGTCTTAACTTTGCAAGTTGCCAACAGCAAAAGAGGAAAAAAACACACAAGAGAAAGAAAACAATTAGTCTGAACTTAGTCCAGTATATTTAATATTTATTCTTCAAGTATTGCTTTAGTCTTATGCAAAAGAATCAGTAATTGTATGGGAACAAGTTTAGTTTAAAGAAACTTTAAACGGATGCAGATCAAAACGTCCTATTATATATGCGTTATAATTTCTCTTTTTTTTTTCAGGCATGAAATTGGACAAAAATATAAATGCAGGGAAGGAGTGATCTATGAAATCAATAAGATTTATAAAAACATAACTTTTAACTCTGCCTTGAGATTTTTATTTTAGATTAAAAGTGTCAGAAGCATTTAGACAGAGAAATTTAAATAAACATAAACAAACGCATATCAAAACACCCTATTATATAAACTTTATATTTTCTCCTTTTTTAATATAAAGGGATTTAACAATATTGTTTGCAAGCCCTTTCTGTCTGTAAATTAATCTCTTTTGCTTATTTGTTCTTTTGTTTAAAATATCTCTAATTTAGTTTCTAATCAAAATTATTAAACTGTACCGAAGAAACTCTAAAGACGAAAACCAAGTGCACCTAGTTGCTATAAATAAACTTAATTTTACGTCAAGAGAATTAACTGTACATTGAGCCTAACAAAGTTTTGATTTTAAAAGCTTCTTTTATACATTATTTTTATTTTTACAAAAGAAAAAAAATTATAATAATAGGATTAACTGAATTTCAGGTTTTCTGAAAGCTTTAAATAAAAAAATTCAGATGCTATGGATCATAAATAAATTCCCTTTTTGAATGTTACTATCAATTTTCTGCAATTTCTTTTTATTAATTTCCAGAATTTTTTGTTACTTAAACTTTTTAGTTTGCCAGACATTAACTGTATTACTGAATTTACTTATCAAACTAAAAAATGAGTTAAAAAAATATTTTCAAGTTTAAAGAATTTTCTAATGTGTCTAAAAATAAGGAGAGTTCTTGATAAATCAAGAGAAACCGAAGTCTAGTGGTCTACTTTTTTTTCCAGAAGAGTTAGCACCAACATTACATGTTCTATATAATAATAATTTTTTTTAGAAACCTTTGTATTTGTCTCTTGCTTTTTCTTTGGCACTGTCTTCGATTTTTTGACTTCACCATGATATGGCTCCTGAAAAATTTTTAAAAAATTTAAGTAGTTGATTAACAATATGTAATACAATTAAATGGGAAAAAGTAAATGAAGAATACAAAATTTTTAATGAATGAAATGAAAGAGCAATTTAATAAAATATTTGGAAATTTTGTTTGATTACACTATTTTCTTTTCAGTGCAAATGATCGTTTATTTTCTATAAGCCTGTGTGAAATCAGAAAGTTTCTTATATTTTAAGCATTCTGCAAATGTTGGTAGGGGTTGTGTGGATCTGTTTTGCCATCTGCATTGCTAACACTTTCCTCCTCTTCAGCTTCTTTCATTTATGGAATGAACATCCCTATAAGTTTTAACATTTACATCAGCTGATGCATAAACATCTGTGTTTGAGGCATTTTACGAATAATAAAACATATCATCATTTTCTTTTTCTCCATCAGCAACAAGAATCACCATTCTTCTACTCAAAACAAAATAACTTCAATTTCTTTTTAAATGTTGGTAGAATTTCTGAATGATAGATGCAGGAAATGGCTAGTGTCAAAATTTATCTTAACAGTTATAATACACTATTAGAATATCATTTGTGGCAGGACAATTAAAACAAGACAACACAGAAAAACAAAAGCTGTAGGAATGATGGATTGAAGCTCAACTACAGTTAAATTTTAAATGCTAGAATAATCTACCCCATAGTCTGCAACTGAATACCAGAAAACTTTAAAAGATAATATAAGCGGTGGTTTGTAAGAATAGGTTCACATAGCTGAATGTTAGCGGCAGCTGAGTCTTAACCACTTAATCCAAATTGTCAACATAGGCTGCCAACCACTACACTTTTTGGAAAATATTTAATAGAATGGTAAGTAATTAAAAAATAAAGCTTTCTGAATTTTTGGTAATGTTGTCAACATTTTAAAAGTCTCACCAAGAAACAGCTGGGAGAAAGAGGTTTTTCACATCAACTATTGAAACATTTACATGTAGAGGTGTAGAAAATAACTTTAAAAGAAATTTATGAAACAAAGAATAATATATTAAAATATAAACTTTAGCTATTATTTGTTACTTAAACTTTTTAGTTTGCCAGACATTAACTGTATTACTGAATTTACTTATCAAACTAAAAAATGAGTTAAAAAAATATTTTCAAGTTTAAAGAATTTTCTAATGTGTCTAAAAATAAGGAGAGTTCTTGATAAATCAAGAGAAACCGAAGTCTAGTGGTCTACTTTTTTTTCCAGAAGAGTTAGCACCAACATTACATGTTCTATATAATAATAATTTTTTTTAGAAACCTTTGTATTTGTCTCTTGCTTTTTCTTTGGCACTGTCTTCGATTTTTTGACTTCACCATGATATGGCTCCTGAAAAATTTTTAAAAAATTTAAGTAGTTGATTAACAATATGTAATACAATTAAATGGGAAAAAGTAAATGAAGAATACAAAATTTTTAATGAATGAAATGAAAGAGCAATTTAATAAAATATTTGGAAATTTTGTTTGATTACACTATTTTCTTTTCAGTGCAAATGATCGTTTATTTTCTATAAGCCTGTGTGAAATCAGAAAGTTTCTTATATTTTAAGCATTCTGCAAATGTTGGTAGGGGTTGTGTGGATCTGTTTTGCCATCTGCATTGCTAACACTTTCCTCCTCTTCAGCTTCTTTCATTTATGGAATGAACATCCCTATAAGTTTTAACATTTACATCAGCTGATGCATAAACATCTGTGTTTGAGGCATTTTACGAATAATAAAACATATCATCATTTTCTTTTTCTCCATCAGCAACAAGAATCACCATTCTTCTACTCAAAACAAAATAACTTCAATTTCTTTTTAAATGTTGGTAGAATTTCTGAATGATAGATGCAGGAAATGGCTAGTGTCAAAATTTATCTTAACAGTTATAATACACTATTAGAATATCATTTGTGGCAGGACAATTAAAACAAGACAACACAGAAAAACAAAAGCTGTAGGAATGATGGATTGAAGCTCAACTACAGTTAAATTTTAAATGCTAGAATAATCTACCCCATAGTCTGCAACTGAATACCAGAAAACTTTAAAAGATAATATAAGCGGTGGTTTGTAAGAATAGGTTCACATAGCTGAATGTTAGCGGCAGCTGAGTCTTAACCACTTAATCCAAATTGTCAACATAGGCTGCCAACCACTACACTTTTTGGAAAATATTTAATAGAATGGTAAGTAATTAAAAAATAAAGCTTTCTGAATTTTTGGTAATGTTGTCAACATTTTAAAAGTCTCACCAAGAAACAGCTGGGAGAAAGAGGTTTTTCACATCAACTATTGAAACATTTACATGTAGAGGTGTAGAAAATAACTTTAAAAGAAATTTATGAAACAAAGAATAATATATTAAAATATAAACTTTAGCTACCACTTAAAGAAATTTTCCCAAAAAGCGTAAAAAGTTGGCAGCCATACTGATATACTTCATCAGACGCCAAGCTACAGTGTCACCTGTCATGTCTCTTTGACAGGTGACACTGTTGAGCTCAGCATTTGGCAAAATATGCTAAAAAGTGTTGCAATCTTAAATTTAATTAGAAAAAATTATATTTACGATTTAAATATTCTTCCATATTTTCTCATTGAAGTTTGTGCGTGTTATTGTGCTCTTAATCTAAATATGCAAACATTTACTGCTAATCTAATTTTCATTAAAGAATTTGTAGCTCATACATTGGTCTACAAATGAATGCACTTTAAATTATCTGTCTGCTATGATTTTAAGTATAAATTGGTCTACAAATGAATGCACTTTAAATTATCTGTCTGCTATGATTTTAAGTATAAAAAATATATTTATAGTTTTCTTAAAGTTTTTTTAACTATACCTGATTCAAAACAATAAAAAAATTTTAATTACAAATTTTCTTGGTTAAAAATTGGTTAATTTCGTATAATATTCATAATTTAAACTTTCAATGCCCTGAAATTAAAATAACATAAAAAATAGACATTCATTGTAAATAAATAATATGACACAATATTATTCAAAAATAATGACATGTTCCCCATAGTTAACAATATCAGATTTTACAATAAAATTAAGCAAACTATCCCTTAATATCAAATACAAAAGTCTGCATAATTGCATATTTACTTACTAAAAATATTGGTTTAATTTTCAATTAATAATTTTTGTCAAATGCTGTAAACAGATTATAGATGAAATGTAGTTTTATTGGATATAAATTAGTGTGTAACTTTTATTTCATTATTCATAAATGAGAACAGAAACTTTCCTTAGAGAATACTGGTGACAATAAATGTTTGTATTGTTTTTTATATTAAAATAAATGCAAACTTTTATTCCATGAAACATACACTCATGTTTGTGAAAATTTAAGCATGAGGTTATACAAATTGAACCAAACTTACATGAAACGTAAAGTGAGGTAAGACATGCAAATTATTAGAATTACAAATCTATTGCGCATGCATGGAATGAGAACAGACTCCCTATCAGCTGCTTGTTCCATGTATATAGAGAACTGTAAAAATCAGTTTATCGTTTTCTGTCTGCAGTAAACGTTTAATTAGTGAACGATATGCCATGTGAAAAGTGGGGAGTGCCATATCAACAACCGACGGAGTCCATACTAGGTCATATCATCGAAGTGCGAGAGCATGGATTTTCGACAAATAGTAGCCTATACGCTGTGTGGTGTCACAACAGTAATGCATGTTTAAAAAAATTAACACAGAAGAAACAAACAAGATGAAAACCTGGAAGTAGAGCACACAATAGCAGAATAGTTCGGGACACGTCATCCGCATGACTGTGATGGTTGGCATTCTTTTGTATGTTGGTAAAACGTTGGAGCACAACTACAGATGTTTTGTTGCATAGCTTGACGGCTCACCACCATCTCCTGCAGTATCAACAGAGTGCAAGGATTTTTCTATGCAGGATTCCTCTGTCTCTGAATCGCCAACTCCTTTTACTTTAATGGGCTCAGCAACACAGCCCATGGTGTGCCCAGTAACAACAAGTTGTTTGCAGACAAATCTTGCTACAATCTAGAGTACAAAGATGCAAGAACATGCATCAGACATTACAGAGGGGGATGTCTGTTTCAACAGTATGATTACCTAGCTTCATACCGCACAAATACCTGGTATTATAGTGTGGGAAGCTATTGGTTATAATTGTCGATCCAATCTAGTGTAAATTGCAGGCAGCCTCCATACTGATTGTTACATAAAGGAAAATTATAGAGCCAGAGGTCCTTCCCATTCTTCAATACATTCCATGCGCTGTATTTTAGCAGGATAATGCCTGTTCACACATTTCTAAGACTGCACAAGCCATCTTTAGTGAACAGCAGATATTGCTTTTTCCACAACCAGGTTATTCCCCTGATATGTCGCCTATTAAGCATGTCAGGGATTTCATGAGTCAGCGTTCTGCTGATAGGGCACATGGTAAGACTGAACTTTGATGTAAATTAAAAACCACATAGAATGCCATTTTGTGAGATCTATTTTTAAAAACTCAGCAATTACTTACAACGAGTGTTAATTTAAAGAAAAACTCTAAGTACACCAATAAAAATTAAGCAAAATAGTTTAATATATTATCAAGGAAAAAATCTACATGGTAGCATAAAGAAAAAGTAAAAGATATAATGAAATAGTTAGTTGGATAGTTCTATGAATCACGCTCGGCCAGGTAATTAAAAATTTAATTTCACAATTAAGATGTTAGGACGACATATTAGATACTGAGATATTTTAAGATGCTTAAAAATTTTGGCTACATATTTGACAGTTCTTTTTTCGGTATCTTTACACTCTTTGTAGTGACTTATAAGACATCAACACTATTTTAGATAATCAATGCTGAAGTCACCAGAAAAAATCAAACATGTATCATTATTTTTTGAAAAAATAGTATACTTAGTAAACAGTCAGCTGTTTTGCATTAAATAGTTTTAAACAGCATAATGTTTTTAATTTCTTAACAAGATTTTATTCTTAGCTAGCAGGCAAGTTTTTTTTAAATCAAAACTTGACAATAATTTAGAAAAGAACTTTAATTTAAATGAAAACCTAAATTAAAGTACTAAAAAAATTGATCAGTATATTAATAAAAAAATAATATAAGTTATAGCGTAAAGAATATGATTTATAAAAAAATTAAAATTTAATTAAATAGTTGGTAAAACAGTTTTGCAAAACAGGCACAGGTGATAAAAAAAATTATTTTAAGATTAAGACGATATATATGTTAGACAAATAAAGTCTAAAAGGGTTTAAGGTTTGATCTTCATCAGTCGTTTCAGATGACGATCTTTTGGTAAATTAAGTTTTTATAAACATTAAAACAAATAACCAATTAAAATTTAAAGAATAAATTTAATTTAAACATAGTTAAGAATTACAAATAAAAATACAGAAAGTTAAATAAAATTAAGATTATTGTAGAGCCATGCATCACCGACCAGGCCACGAGGTAAACTGCCAGTAACGTCGGTTGCTCGTAGAAAAACCGGTTTCACATGAGTCACTGCAAGTTGAAGTGAAAGTGCTCTTTTGCATCACCAAGTAAAGGTGAAATTATAGGAGCAGGGCACCGCCGCTGTACTCCTCCTCCAGCAAATACTACAAGTATTTGGGATTAAATCGAACTCTCCTGCCAGATCGTGTCGTTGTCTGCGGAGGTTCAGCTAATTGTGTGGTCGTTGGAGTTATCACAGTATGAGATAATTTTGATGTCACAGTTCGCTCAATGTCTTTGAGGAGAAAAGCTGGTTTTAGACGGTCAACACTGATCACTGAAGCTTTTCCAGAAATGTCCAGACAAAAAATTTTTTCTGAACGACTGAGTACTCTATATGGTCCATCATAAGAGGCTTGAAGGGGTCTCTTTACACTGTCACGTCTCACAAACACATGAGAGCATGATTCAAGAGTTGGGTGGACGAAAACCTTTACGTTTGTATGTGAAGAAATTGGAATTGGTTTCAGTTCTGACATGCAGGTTCGAAATTTTTGAAGGAACTCGTGTGGATCAACATTTGAAGTCGAAGGATCGATGAACTCCGCTGGTAGTCGTAGGGGGGTTCCATAGACGAGTTCAGCACTGGTGCATCCTAGGTCTTCTTTTACAGCAGATCTTAGTCCAAGAAGTACAATAGGAAAGGATTCAGTCCATTTTATATTGGGGTGGCATTTGAGACCTTGTTTTAGAGCTCTGTGAAAGCATTCGACGAGACCATTGCTGGAAGGATGGTACGGTGTTGTACGCACTCTAGCTGCTCCAATCATTCGAGACAGTTGAAGGAAAAGGCTACTCTCGAATTGACGGCCTTGGTCTGTCGTGATGATGGAAGGAATGCCAAACCTAGAAAACCAGTTATTGACGAGTGCTCGGGCAACTGTTTCGGCAGTAACCTCTGGGATGGAAACAGCTTCAGGCCACCTTAAGAATCTGTCAATGCATGTCAAGAGATACTGGTATCCATCAGAAGGAGGGAGCGGTCCGACAAGGTCAATGTGTATGTGGTCAAACCGTCGAGATTGTAACTCGAAAGGTTGTAGAGGAGACTGTGTGTGTCGGATCACTTTGTTTTTCTGGCAGCTGACACAGGAGCGGGACCATTCTACAACATCTTTGGCTATGGATGTCCATACGAAGCGAGAGAGGACAAGCTTCTTCGAAGCATGGATTCCAGGATGTGTCAAATTGTGAAGAGACATAAAAATACTTTTTCGAAAGTCTTTTGGCACATATGGACGAACTCTGCTGGTCACACAATATAAGGGGTATGGGCCGTTCAATTTCATAGGCTGCAACTTCAAAGTCGTTGTAGAGTTTTCACATTCAGTGAGTAGTTGCTTTAGTTCTGCATCAGTTCTTTGGGCATCAGCAATTTTAAGAAATCAACTGGTGGAAGGTGTATTGAGTTCAATCGTGAGAGACTGTCAGCTACTACATTATCACTTCCAGAAACATGTCGAATTTCAGTACTGAATTGGGCTATAAAATCTAATTGTCAAAGCTGGTGTGGTGAGCATGAATCTGAGTTTTTTAAATTCATAAATTAAGGGACGATGGTCAGTAAAAATTATGAAATTTTGAGCTTCAAGATTATGATGGAAGTGTTTTATAGCTGCATAAATGGCAAGTAATTTGCGATCATAGGCACTGTGCAATTTGGTTTCAGTTAGTGAAAGCTTATGGGAAAAAAACGAGGGGTTTTGGTCCATTAGGAGTATCAGTATTTAAAACAGCGCCAATAGAGGTATTGGAAGCATCTACCATTAAAGAAAGTTGCTGATTTGGTGTTTGATAACTAAGAATAGCAAAATTAGCTATTTCTTGTTTGCATTTTTCAAATGCCGAAATTGCTGCGTCTGTCCACTGGATTAAGCGTTTGTCTTCGAATCTTTCAAATATTCAGTTAGAGGAGCTTGTGCGGCTGCAGCATTTTTAAAAAAACGGCGATAAAAATTTGCAATAACTAAAAAACGTTTAAGTTGGGCAACAGTCTCAGGTTTAGGGAAATCAACTATGGCTTGTACTTTTTCAGGTAAAGGTTGAACACCATCTGAAGAAATCAGACAACCAAGAAATTTAATGGATGATTTTCCTAACACGCACTTTGATGGGCTAAGTTTAAGGCCGTTCTGAGAAAAACGCATAAATATCTCTTGAAGATGTTAGATGTGTTCGTCTTCATTAGCTGAAGCTACGAACACATCATCAAAGTATGGTATGCAGAAGTCTAAGCCCGCTAAAACTTGGTGCATAAATCTTTGGAAAGTTTGACCCGAGTTTTTTTAACCGAAAGGCATGTAAACGTATTCGAATAGTCCGAATGGAGTGGTGACTGTTGTTTTGGGAATATCCAGAGGATTCACCGTAATTTGATGATACGCTCTCGTGGGATCGACAGTTGAAAAAATGGTCTTACCATAAAATAATTGAGTGCAGTCCTGAATATGTGGGACTGGGTATCTGTCAGGAACTGTTATGGAATTAAGTTTTCGGTAATCTCCGCAAGGATGCCAATTACCATTCAATTTGTTAACTACATGTAATGGGCTGGCCCAAGGGCTTTTTGACGGTCTTATAATCCCTTGAGATAAAAGAAAATCAAATTCTTCCCTGGTCGCTTTCATAATTTCAGGCGATAAGCGCCTTGATTATGAAAACACAGGCGGTCCTGTAGTTTCTAAAAAATGGTAAACGGTCGACGGAGTAGGCGTAGGATTTGCATGCGATGGGTTTGTCAATTTCGGAAAGCGTGACAATACCTTATCAAATTTTGAGTTTCCTAAACTAATAGTTAAACTACTTGGAAAATCAATATTAGCAATCTTTCCACGTGATGTTAGTTTAGTTAGATTATCGATTAATCGGCTATTTTTTACATCAACTAATAAATTGAAATGTTTCAGAAAATCGACACCAATAATTGGCTGCTTAACATCGGCAACAACAAAACGCCAAGTGAATGGCCTATGAAGGTTAAAATCTAAAGTTAATATTTTTGTTCCGTACGTTAAAATTTTAGGACCGTTTGCTGCGAATAATACTGAATCATCGGAAACTAGAGTCAATTCCGGAAAGCGTGACAATACCTTATCAAATTTTGAGTTTCCTAAATTAATAGTTAAAACTACTTGGAAAATCAATATTAGCAATCTTTCCACGTGATGTTAGTTTAGTTAGATTATCGATTAATCGGCTATTTTTTACATCAACTAATACATCGAAATGTTTCAGAAAATCGACACCAATAATTGGCTGCTTAACATCGGCAACAACAAAACGCCAAGTGAATGGCCTACGAAGGTTAAAATCTAAAGTTAATATTTTTGTTCCGTACGTTAAAATTTTAGGACCTTTTGCTGCGAATAATACTAAATCATCAGAAACGTTAGTATCAGATGCATAACGCTTTGGCAAGACTGACAAATCAGCACCAGTATCAATAAGCAAATAAAGGTTACTTTTTTGATCGGCCAATAAAATACGATTAATGTGGCGATCGGTATGGTCTTCGTGCGATCGCCTGCTTAATTTTCCGAGTAGTTGCATGGAGAATTACAGCGCGATTACCGAAATTCGTATTATAAAAACAATATCCGTTTTCAGGTTCTTTATATGCGAGTTTTTCTGCGAGTTCTAGAATTGCTGCGATGTTGAGAATTCTTTCTCTCTCTGTTCGGGTTTCGAGACTGTCTCACATAAGAAGTGAGTTCGCTTACTTGTTTAGTGAGCTGAGCGACCTACAATTCGAGTGCAGACGTTTTGTCAGCGGCGACAGTGTTTACGTGTTGATGCGAGGAGAGATCATTAGTTTTGTCAGCAGCTGAAGCTAGCTGGTCTAATTCATCATTGAGAGCTGCTAAAATAGTTTCTACGTTGTTAGGGAGTCTACCAAGCCACAAAGATTTTAAGAGAGGAGTGCCCACATTATCACCTGCGAGTGCTCGCATTCGTGTTAATAATTGGGAAGGTTGCTGGTCACCTAATTCCAGCCCTTGAAGAAGAGTCCGGATTTTTGATTCCTCACTCTCGGAATGCAGCTCTATTAATCGTTTCTTGATAGCTTTGTATTTCTCAGTGGTAGGAGGTTTCAAAACAATATCGCTAATGGAACTTAAAACATCAGAGTCGACAGCTGCAAGCACGTAGTTAAATTTTGTATCATCAGCGGAAATTTTAGCTAAAGTGAATTCTTTTAGCCGGACAAACCACAAGGAGGGATTTGATTTCCAAAATGGAGGTGGTTTGACTGCGACGTGAGCAATTTGATTTTCGTCTAGAGTTTCGTTAGGCATTGTGAAATGTTTAAAAGCAAATAAAAGAAAATTCTGAAATAAGTCGCGAATTTAGTTAACAAGTATGATTAAGGATTAATATCAAAAATAATGTAAATATTAATGCACGCAAACATTGATATAACAAAATCTGCCATGTTTGACTAGAAGTAAAAATAACTATTAAAATTAGACGATAACGAGAAATAAAAAAAAGCCACACAAGAAAATAAAAATTACCGCATGATACTCCCAGTGGAAACCAATTTAAAAATAGACTTACTGAAATTGTTGGAACTCCATATCCTAAGTTGATGTTGAACGCGTGTTCGAAAAAGGGTCACCAATTTGGTAAATTAAGTTTTTATAAACATTAAAACAAATTAACAATTAAAATTTAAAGAATAAATTTAATTTAAACATAATTAAGAATTACAAATAAAAATACAGAAAGTTAAATAAAATTAAGATTATTGTAGAGCCATGCCTTACCGACCAGGCCACGAGGTAAACTGCCGGTTGCTCGCAGAAAAACCGGTTTCACATGAGTCACTGCAAGTTGAAGTGAAAGTGCTTTTTGCATCACCAAGTAAAGGTGAAATTATAGGAGCAGGGCACCGCCGCAACCTCATGCATTCAACTTACGTCGGTAACGTCATGGTCTGTGTTGATCGGCACAGTTTCTTTTAATTTGTTGTTGGTCGTTCTTGCGTGAATCATGACATTATCCGCTTAAAGAGTATTTAAGCTTCCGTTGAAGCATTATTGCTTGTATTCATTCTTTTCGTTAGTCATTCTGTTTGTGACAGTTTGTCTACCAATGTTTCAAAATAAATTTATTGCTTTAGAAACTTCGTTTTCTTATTTTTTTTGTTGACACACAGATAAAATGATATTCTGCGACAATCTAGGATGTCAATATAAGATGTTGAGAAATTTTAAGATGCTTAAAAATGTTCCCTACGTATTTGTATTAAAAATTACAAAATATATATTGAAGAAATTGATAAATATATTATTCCTAATCTATGCATACATATGTATATTATTGAAATTGTTAAAAAAAAGTTATTGAAAAAAGAAACTAAAAAATTAAATATAATCACATTAAATATAAGCATGATCTGATGTATAATCATATTCTATCAAAAGTATGCTTTTATAAAACTCGTCATTCGTTGAATAAAATTTTTTATTCAAATTTCCTTACTAGATTACGAATACATTTTTAGACGACTAAAAAAGAAACATTGAATTGTATCATTAAAAAATAAATAAAAAAGATTAGCAATCCGCTACTAGCAAAAAAATATGAATGAAATTTTACGCTACCCGCACGTAAGGGAAGTTCCTCGTAAGTTAACCACATTTTAATATTAATCGCCCTAGTTAAATATTTCTTCATTGTCACCAAATTATTTTTTTAAAAATAATTAATTTTAGTTTTTCCCAGCTTCTACTTAATAAAAAAAGTTTAAACTTTAGATTTTTCAATAAAAAAATATGTAGATTAACATGGTATAAAAAATTGACACCTCATTATTAAAAATTTTTTCATCTTCAATAAAATTAAATTATAAAAAATTATTATTAAATATTATTTTTTATATGAAATTATCTTTGGGTAAAAAGAGTTTTATAAGTGGGGGCAATTTTTTTTGAATTGCTTAATTAGTTTTAAAAATATGATTGAAAATGCAAAAAGTGAAATTAACATTAAGAGGTTCGAACTTTGGATCTCTCTCCTGAACAAAGTATGGGGACCATGTTTCCCAGATTGCGGCTACCCCCTATATTTGGAAGGTTAAAAATCCAAACATGTAAAAAAAAAAAAATAAATAAAAAAAAATACATGTTTATTCAGAGAAAGTAAGTTTTTTGTCTGAATTTAATTAATTGTTAGCACTATATAATTCACACATTTAAGGTCACCCCCAAGAACCATTAAGATTAAGACTTAGTACGTGAAAATCCAATCATTAGATGAAAGTTATTCAGGGTGATATCTATTTTTGCGGACTGTACATACATTGATACAATACAAAATAAATAACCATTTAACAATTGTAATACACACGCATGATTGAGTATAACACTCATTGGAGTCAGAAGGTATGAAACAGCAGTTAAAAAAGAAACAACAAAGAAGGGTTAATAGGGTATGGTCCCCCTTACAGATAAACAGGCCTTGCAGAGTGATTTCATATTTGAAAAAAGGCAGTTTATCATTTCCTGTGGCAATTGGTCCCACTCATTCAGCAATACTGTTCTCATTCCCTGGATGGTTCTCGGAGAGGGGGAAGCGAGTTGCAATTGCCTATCCCAGAATTGCTCAGTAGGATAGAGGTCTGGAGATTTGGCAGGCCAATCCATCCGGCAAATATTCTCTCTCGCAAAAAATTTGTCAACCAGAAGAGCTTTATGTGGCCTCGCATTACTGTCCATTAAAATGAACTCAAGGCCAACTGCACCCCTGAAAAAAAGAACACGCGGCTCATATCTCATCCCTATACCTGACGCCAGTCACAGAACCTCTTTCAAGGACATGGAGAGGTGTCTGGCCATTCAGAATGACGCCTGCTCAGACCATTAAACCAACTCAACCATAATGGTCGATTTCGCAGACATTGAAGGGTAGGTAGTGGGTCCCTAGTTCTTTCCACATGAGCGTACGGCGAGAACCGGGACTCACAGCGAAAAGAACAGCCGTCCATTGATCCATACTCCCATCTCTATGCTTTCTGCATCATGCTGAACGGACTCTCCTGTTTGTAGAAGTAAGGGGGATGCAAACAGTAGGTCTTTCTGATAACAATCCTCTCTCATGAAGTTGTTTGGAAACAGTCACCCTTGATATACTGGTTACTGTGGCTGCATACAAGTTACGAGAGACCTGAGCTATAGTCCCTGCTATGCCTCGCTATAATGACCAAATGGCTATCCTCTCTGGCCGTTGTAGCTCTTGGACAACCTTGCCCAGGCTTTCTCTTGATTGATCCGGTATTTGGGAACTGTTTTCATAAGTTACACACAACCGCTGGGAGTTGAAATTGAACTCTCTATAAATCTAGACCTGAAATTGGCCTGCTTCTAGTCTCCCCAAAATCATCTAAACGTTAGTGGTTACTAATTTTTACTGTTACAATTTGAATTTACCCTTTTGCTCAAACTAACACCAAGAAATTCGACGAGGTGTGCTAGCGAACAGAATGCTTCTTAACTTAGACACACTTATAATGCCAGTTTCTCAACTGGCTCCGCCTACACACATGTGTACGCTTATGAATTTGCTGCACAAGATTTCCTTTTTGTCTAGTAGCAGTGGTTTTACATTGAGTTCAGTTCTTTCCATGAAATTTCATAAAATATGCAAATTTTCTTCATCTATTTCACCAGTATAATTAAAATTTATTTAGTTTTTTCAGCTAACTAAAAATTAACATATGCTGCGAGCCTTAACATACGCCTTTCAAAAAGAAAGGCTTCATCAAAGAAATTCTGTGTAGCCACCATTTTGTATTATATTGCTTTGGAAAAATTAATTTTTACAATTCACTAGTTATATAATAAAGTTTTATAAATTTTAAAATTTTACATAAATATTTTTCATAATTTTCACCAATTCCATTTTCTCACAAAAAAAATTCATATTTTAAAACCACTACCTCAAAAAATATTGTGATATTTAAAATGAGGACTTGTTTCAATCACAAAGAATCCATAAATTTTCTACACAATATATTAAATTTCATCTTCTTTTAAAAGTTAGTTAAGTTCAATAAAGTTTGTCTATTACATACAATTTATAAAACGTAAACTTAATTTTACATAGCTCTATAAAAGTATTTCTAAAAGTCATTTTGTCCCAATGAAACTTTTGCAAAATAATTTTTCCTGAATTTGTGAGCGAAAGACGAAATTTTTAAAACAAATATAATTTGTATAAAAATTTTATTAGATTATAGAACTTAAGAGGATGACTATTTAACTGTCTGACCTATTATATATCTGTTTACATTATACATAGAGGAGGACAAATTCTTTTGTTTCTACTTTATTAGACATTTATAAAAAAATTTTGCAAGAACTATAAGAAATATTTTCATTCATGACAGCGAGAATTTTGAAATATGTTACATTGGGTACTGACATTAAAAAATTTATAAATACCATAGGCAAAGATCTTTTGACACACAGTTTTAATACTCCTGTCACTTGACTATACCACACAGAATTATCATACATCGTTTCCTCGTAAAGTGGTTTCTTTTTTGTCTATTAAAAACAAAAACATCAGTTTAGATTATTATCAAAAAGGACAATACAAATACAGTACAGAACCCGTTATCCGGAAATCAGAAAACCGGAAAACCAAAAAACCGGAACGAAATTCGATAAATTTTTCAAGCAATTTTAAAAAAAAATTTTTTTTTCCTCATAGGACTTCAGGATTTTTCTTTCTTTTTTGAAAGATGTTTACCTTACCATCATTTCAGAAATAATCATTAGTGTATTACCTCATCGTTTTTTCTTATTTTTAAGATTATTTCCAAATATTTATTTTTTTTAGTTGGGTTTAACACTAAAAAAAAGGCTTTTTGTAGCGATTCAGAAAACCGGAAAAATCAGTTATCCGGAATATCCGGAATAGCGATAGTCCCGATCGTTCCGGATAATCGGTTCTCTACTGTATAAGGCACATTAACCAATTTTTTTTTCTCATAATAATAAAATTTAAGAAAATGCAATTAAAATAATTGAAATTTTCTATTCTAGTCTAACTTAAAGAACTAGACTTAAATAAATCAAAGTTTCTACTAGCTTTCAGAAACAAAATTTCACAATTAAAATAAAAAAAAAACAACTAACCCCTAATATGGAATAATTTTTAGTCTAAAATTTACGATATTATTTGAGACACAGGGTTTTCTATGATCAGAATCACATATCATGATCAAAATCACAATAACTATATAAACCTTATATTTTTCGTAGTTAAAAATGAAGCCAAAAATCTGTATTTAAGTCTTTGTTGATAGTTATATAAACAAAAACAAAAACTGCATAACATGAGGTAATTTAATATAGGAGGTACTTATAGTACAGGAGGTATATCAGAAATGAGTAAGTACTACCATTTAGTGGACAGTTACAAACAGATACTGATATCCAAATAAAGAAAGGGTCAACTTAATGCTGTATAAAAAGGAAAATAGCACAAATAGAGTCACAAGAACAAACATACCCACCTATAACCTTTAAACATGAATTAACTCTTGCAAAGAAATTTAATATACTGCTTAAACCTTTGCCTAACCTAAAATCTAATAATGTTCTTAAATTTATTTCTTAGATCTTGTTAATCAGATTTTCATAGTCAATTTCTCTGTTTTATTAAACAATAAGCTAATAATTATAAAAAGCTTATAAAAGGGCAATCAAATTGTAGTTTTAGACACAGACACTAATTTGGAGAAGTTTTAAAAGATCTGAGTCTTAACAAATTCAATAAAATTAAATATAGTACCAGAACTTCTGTTATTATTCTTAATAATTTATAATATTCCCAACATTAACTAATATACATTGTTCTAGATGCAAAACTTTACCAAAAGTTTATTGGGTTAGTCCCTTTGATCTGTCATTTTGAATATTAGAACTGTTTTTTTAAAATATGCAAAATATATTGTTTTAACTTTTTCCCCTCTTTTTAGCAATAATTATTTTATTCTTAAAAAACTCATATAATTTTGTAAATGAGCTCTATATGTCCAAATCTAAGGATAACATTTAAGTCTCTTTTCATGTAAAATCTTTATTCGCTAATATTCTTTCACCCTGAACATAAGATTACCCCTTTAAAATACAATTACAAAAATTCTACAATAGTCAGGTTGAAATTTTCTAATGCACGCCATTCCTACTTTTTTTCCTATCTAATTTCATTATTAAGAGGGAATTGTATTATGTAATCAATGGAGATAAGTAAAGATCTGTAAAATTCCTACTGAAACAAAACAAAGTTTAAATTTATGAATATATGGTCCAAAGTATAAGGGTAAAAATTTATCGCCACTGCAGCTTCTGAGTCAAAATGTGACCCAGAGGTTATAAGTTTTAGTTAATTTATTATTAAAATTCAAACACTATACAGAACATGTTTTCCTGTATGGTGGAATGGTTAACCCTCCCCAATTTGAGTAGAGTATCAGTCATATAAAAATCGCGGACCAAGAATCTCCCATGTGTTTCAATACTGATCCCGCTATTCCCCGCGTAGGTTGAAAAAACATCATTTGATGCTTGTTTTTGCTGTTAGATGGCACTAGAGGGTTCAGGAATTTCTTTTCTCTTGGTTGATTCTTTTCTCATGTATTTGTGAGTTTGCATGCTTTTTGCTTTCCTTTCGTGTGATATAGATTTGCCGAGTGTCACTGGTGTGAATAACAAACAAAAATATCTTGATTATGAAGATAAGTGATTCGAAGTATTCTCTAAATCAGGTCAGCGATGATGGTAGGGAAGACTCATCGGAAATTCAGTTATCTGGAAGTGAATCTGAAGATTCCGATGATGATGGAAGAATTCAGAGTGCTCATTCATGGATGAAAATAAATATTAATAACCCTTCTCATGCTCCCTTCAGATACCAGTTTTCTCAAAGTACTTGCGAATATAAGTGAAGAAGATGGAATTTCTCAGCTTATTTATGGATAGAGACTTACAAGAATTGATAGTAAATTAAACAGATTTGCCTCTCAACATCAGGCATAAAAGTGGTCGAAAACAAAAAAAAACTGAACTTTTACAACGTAGAGGGAGGGGGGGGGTGTTCTATGTAATACTGTGATATCGAGGATACATATACATACATATAAAAGCAACTTTCAACTCTACTGGGAGATTTAAAGTGACAGAAGCATTTAGACAGCGAAATTTAAAATTTTTTTAAAATATAATTTTAAAATTTTGATCACTACTACATTAAAGAAAATTAAGCATTTATAGGAAGTTCCAGCTTAATTATCATTTTAAATTAATTACCCGTCAATCATTTTAAATTAAAACAGTAGCCAACTTTCACCTTAATATCTTCTGATAGATTGTTACTAACAATTTTAGTCACTTTGACTGAAACTTGAATTTATTTTTGTCGGTAGCATCGACTGTAAGCACTTTGTGTTCGCCTTCTAAATTGACTACTATAGTTAAAATACATGCATGTTACTCATAGCTGCTAATCACGTGAATAAGAATCGCGATGTTGGATTTTAAAGTCACGTGAATAAAAATCGCGAAGTTGGATTTTAAAATCGCGTGAATATGAATCACGATATAGGATTTTAAAAGCACGAAAATACGAGCTGCGATATCGAATTTTTAAATTGAGTGAATGTAAATCACGGTATTGGATTTTAAAATAGCGTGAATATGAATTGCGATATTGAATTTTAAAATAGCGTGAATATGAATCGCGATGTTGAATTTTAAAATAGCGTGAATATGAATCGCGATGTTGGATTTTAAAATCGCGTGAATAATAATCGCGATTTCGGATTTTAAAATCGCGTGAATATGAATCGCGATATTGAATTTTAAAATCGCGTGAATATGAATCGCAATATTGAATTTTAAAATCGAGTGAATATGAATCACGATATTGGATTTTAAAAGCACGAAAAGACAAACAGCGATATTGAATTTTAAAATTGCGTAAATAAGAATCACGATGCATAATTTTTAGATGTCGTGAATATTTATCGCAATGAGTAAATTTTAAATCGCGAATAAATACGAAAATCGATGTTTGATATTACAACCGCGTGATAACGAATTGCAATATTGAATTTTAAAAATATGTGAATACGAATCGCGACATTGGATTTTAAACAAATCGCAAAAAGTAACTTTTAAATCAGTTAAATACGAAAATCGATGATTTACATAAAAATCATCTGAATATGAATCGTAAATTTTTCCAATCTATAGCGGAAATTGCGGTTGTCAAGGCAACGGGTATCTGCCGAAATTCCACCCATTTTCTTCTCAAGATCATTTTCGCAGGAGGTTACTGCAGGGGGGGGATTCATCTCAAGTCTGACTATCGTTCTGCTTCAAGTATCCGGCTGCTTGGTTTTCTCTTATTGAACTCCCCAAAAATATAAGCTTTTGGAATATAATCGGAAATTTTAAAAATTGGGAGAAAAAGCAATTTTCCGCTTTTTTGCGGAAGTCTTTCCTACCTGCAACATCCCAATATTAATCTAGGGAAGCGTAAATCCTGGATTCCAACAATTGTTTATGAAATTTTATTTTTTGCCCCTTCTTTTCTGCTAGGCCCAGTAAAAAAGCCTGATTATCAATGGTATTGTTCGAAAAGAGAATCCATAAAAACTCCAATATTTTCAAAAATTATGAAGCGTGATAGTTTTTACTTGTTGACGGGAAATCTCCATTTTGTCAATAATGAAAATTTTGTTCCGTCAATCCATCCTTGAACTTTGCTATAGAAAATTTATGATGTTATTGCAAATATTAGAAAAAAGTTTGGTGAAATAGTTAGTCCCGAAGAACAGCTCACTGTAGATGAATCACCAATGCTCTTCAAAGGTGGTATGTCATGGAAACAGTATATTTCTTTGAAGCGTTTACAATTTGGAATAAACTTTTTCATGCTATGTGAAGCTTCGTTAGGTTAGATATGCGACTTTCTTTTGTATAGGGGAAAAGGTATGTCTCTATTACCGGAATACTCATCATATCCACAATCAACTGCTGTTGTTCTTCACCTATTACACTGATTTTTATACAGAGGATCTTGCGCAACTTTTGATAACTACTATATGTCTCCAAGCTTGGCAGATATTATTGTTTAAAAGAAAACGGGCATATATGGTACACTCTGCCGAAAGAAAAAAGATTTATCTCCAGGTTTTGCAAAAGAAATAGTAGAAAAGAGACAATGCATTGCATATCAGCAAGGAAAAGTTACGGTTCTGAAGTGGAAGGATAGAAAAATAGTAAATATGCTTAGTACTTTCTATGATACTTTATCTGTTTCAGTTCATTCTGGGGCAACAAAAGGAAACACTAAAGCCAAAAGTGACTTATGATTACAACTGTAAAATGAGTGGTGCTGACAGATGCGATCAAAAAATGTCTTAATACCCAAGTACCAGGAAACAACAATAAAAGTATTATAAGAATTTTTTTCTCTTATTGGATCAGTCATTGTGAAATTCATATATAGTATACAAACAAATAACAAGAGCAAAAAAAATCTCTTCTTAATTTTAAATTAGCTGCGATTGAAGAAATTTTCGACAAATATTCTTCTTCTATCAAAACGTACCAGCGATGCTAACGCTGGCTGTATGCGGCTAACAGAAAGGCATTTTGTCGCCACATTCCTCCAAATTTGATAAAAAAGGAATCTAGGAGACAATGTGCGGTATGTTGCTCTAAAAAAGGTAAGAAGATATGCAAAGAGACTCTTATTTGATGTGAAGAGTGCCAAGTTGGACTATGCTTGGAGCCATGTTTCAAGGTCTAGCACACCCAAAAAAACTTTCCATAATAATGATGTCAGTAAAAATAATAAAATTTTTATTACAAGATCAACATATATAAGTTGTCATGTTAACTTATAATGAATTCTTTTTTTCATATTTATGTATATATTCTAACAAAGTGAAACATGTCTTTCTTATATTTTTTCTGTTTTATTACAAAATTTCTGTAAAATTTTTCGAGACAAAACGTTTAAAAACATTGAAAAAAATTAGAAGACTAGCAGTGGTCTTATAGCCTGCTACTCCACTAATTTTGTTAATCCGCGTTTGAATCGACGAACTACAAGCTCAAATAAATTTTTTTGTTTGTCTGAATTTGCTTTCATTAAAGCCGCATAAAGGAAACTAGCAACTAAAACTTGCTAGAAACCCTTTTATTGACACCTGAATAGATAGTTAGAGGCAAAAGAGAATACATTACTGTGCTACATCATTCACATGCTTCATTTATTTTCGTAAATTATTTAAGATATATTTATTTAAGTTTATCACAAATAATATTAAAATTTATAATGTGAAATTCTACGTAAAATTGTAACAAGTTGCCATTAGTGTGACAATTATCCCAGCTTTGGAAATTTTGAAATTAAAAAAATAATTGTTATATAATAAAATACATATTTGAATAGGTAACATAAGATGACAAATAAAAGTAAAAAATACCACAACCTTTTCAGGATGTTTTGTGTTCTTCTGTAGAACTCTGGATGGTTCCTAAAAAATTTTTTTAAGGAAATTTCAGTAATAGTATTATCAATAAAAACATCATGAACTTTTTTCAAAATCAAAAATACATTCAAATATTATAATTGAAAGTATATTATAAATCTGCTATGTAGGTAGTCAGAATGATATGGTTCAAATGGCGATCTAAGATGAAATTTATTATAAATTTCATTTCTCCGTTATTAAAACATCATTTTCTAAAATTTTGGATATAAAACTATGTACCAGGCAAAGATTTGGCAACATTTTCATTTCTTTCCAGCTTTGTTCCTGTATGTTGAGTGTTTTTAACTTTCTTAATCACATTTGAAAGAACAAATTCTGCAAATATTATTTTTAATTTCAGCAGTTTGCTTTCAGATAATTTAGTTTATAAAATATATTTACTAATAATAAGAGTTATAAAGGATTATTTTAAAACAATGCGATAAATGCAGCAAAGTTTATAACAATTTATTCCTTCTTTAGAAAATCGTCAGCTTCTTTTTAATTGCAACAAAATATAAAAAAAAGGGGAAGGCTAAGAGTGGTGTTATAGCTTGTTAATCCGTATTTGAATCATGAACTACAAACTCAAAAAGTAAAAGTTTTTTGCCTGAATTTGCTTTCATTAAAGCCACATACAGGATACTGATAACCAAAACAAGCGAGGAACCCTTTTATTAACACATGAATAGATAGTTGGAAGTCCAAGTTGGATTCTCCAGCAAGATGACTCATATAAATTTTTTAGATCTTCACCGATTTTCGGGGATCAAATTATGCACATAATTAAATGGTCGATCTTGTTCTTTGATTTCAATCATTATGAAAATGAGAGGGAGTATCTTTCATAGGGCTGCTAATCCACTGTATAGCTTGTTAATCCACTAATGTTGTTAATCTGCGTTTAAATCATGAACTACAAGCTTCAATATGAAATTTTTTTTGCCTGAATTTGGTTTCATTAAAGCCACATACAATATACTGATAACCAAAACTAGCGAGGAAGCCTTTAATTGACACTTGAATAGATAGAGGGAAAGGTTGGATTCTGCAGCAACATGCCTCATATAAATTTATAAGATATTTATGGATTTTCAGGGATGAAAGTATGCACGTTATCGCATGATCTAACCTGTTTTTTGATTTCAATCATAATGAAAATGAAAGGGAGTATCTTTCTTAGGACTGTATGTGCTTCAGACAAGCAGTTTAAGTTTGTGGCTAAATTTCAGAATGCAATAATTTAAAATTCGAAAAAAAATTTATGTTACTACGGATCATACATTTCAAGTCACAGATAAATATATACAGATATGCTGCATATGAAAGATATCAATAAAAGTGACTTTATGGAACTTTTTTCGTCTGCTTATTTATTTACCGTATTTTTTTGCTGAAAGCGTGGCAGTGCTATCGAAAAAACAACAACATTTTTCCTACATGCGGCGCTTCCGATGAAATAGTTTTTAGTATCAAGGAAAATTATTTAGGAGGAAATAATTTTCTGCGAGAAAGGCTATTAAAAAAATTAATAACGAAGTCGACGAAATATTAGCCCGTATGGCAATCTGCTGCAGAACAATTGCCAATTCTAAGCAAACTTTCGGCAGCGGCCTGCAAGAAAATAAATAGACGAAATAATAATTAAGAAAACCATTGCATAAAGAGACCAATTTAAAAGGTATGCATCTTGTATCCACTCCCAGCTTAAAGAGAGATTGCAAGCTAGAAATCCACATAACACCTGCATTTAAAAATATTTTGTTGTACTTAACATTATTTTCAGACTATTTATAAGGATTATTTATTAAGCACACTTATTCCAAATTAACCCGTATCAACGATAATATAGTTGAGCCTTGCCTAAACAGCAAATGAATGGACTTGTTAACAGGTTTTAATTTTTTTTTAATAATTTAGAAATTAAAACTTTATTTTATGAAATGTATAAAAAATATTTTTATTATACAGGTGGTAATTCAAAGGTCTCTTCTATAAGGATGCTCAGGGAAATTTCCGACATTAATATCATTTATTTGATCTTTGTGATTACCAATTAATCTATTTTCCATTTCACACTCTTCAAAAAGAATACATTCTTACTAAGTTACAGCATTCGCATGCTTAAATTATTATCATAAATTAGTTAAGATTTATTTATTTAAGTTTATCACAAATAATATGAAATTTTATAAAGTGATATTCTACAAAAAACTGTTACAAGTTGTCACAATAGTTCATCACAAGTTGCTAGTGTGAAAATCATCCTAGCTTTGAAAATTTAGATAATAAAAAAAAATTGCTATATATTTATTACATACTTGAAACGTTTGAATAGGCAACATAAGATAACAGATATAACTAAAAAACATCACAACCTTTTTAGAACACTTTGTCTTCTGCCGTGGAACAGTAGTTCTTTTCTTTTGTACAAATCCAGTTGGTTTCTAAAAAATTTATTTAAGAAATTTCAGTAAAAGGATTATAAATAAAAACATGAAGTTTTTTCAAAATTAATTAATACATTTAAAATATTATATTAGAAAATTTATTATAAAGCTGCAAGGTAGGCAGTCAGGGAGATATGGTTGATTCCTATTCCAATAATAAAATCAAGGGATTGGTGAGCGATTTATTGGAAAATTTTTCGACTTTTCCTTACTCCGTTATTTCGATGAAAGAAAAGAAAAAAAATAAAGAAAAGACACTAGGAAATTTCATGGAAAAAATCTTAGAATACGACCTTTTAGTGTGGTGCATTTGGATGCAAAAAAAAAAAACTTTAAAAACTTCAAACACTTTTAAAACTATCATATGAGTAAATATAGAAAAGTAAGAAAACAATTTGAACATAAAGATATAGAGTTGTGAATAATTAAAACATCATTTTCTAAAATTTTAGATATAAGACTATGTATCAGGCAAAGTTTTGGTGACATTTTTGTCTTTTTCCTGCTTTGTTTATATATGCTGAATTTTTTTAACTTTCTAAATTGCTTTTGAAAGAACAAATTCTGGAATATTCTTTTTAATTTCAACAGTTTGGTTTACAATAATTAAGTTTATAAAAAACTTATAAAATGAAAAAATTAAGGGAGAAAAATAGTTATGAAGGATTATTATAAAACAATGCGATAAATGGAGCATAGTTTTTAACAATTTATGCTTTCTTGAGAAAATGGCCAGCTTCTTTTTTAATGCAATAAAATATTGAAAAAAATTAGAATACTAGCAGTGGTGTTATAGCCTGTTACTCCACAAATTTTGGTAACCCGCGTTTGAATTGTGAACTACAAGCTCAAATATAAATTTATTTTTTGCTTGAATTTGCTTTCATTAAAGCCACATACAGGAAACTGGTAATCAAAACTTAACAGCTAGCAACCCTTTTATTGACACCTGAATAGATAGTTGGAGGCAAAAGAGAATACATTACTGTGCTATATCATTCACATGCTTCATTTATTTTTGTAAATTTTTTAAGATATATTTAATTAAGTTTATCACAAATAATATTAAAATTTATAATGTGAAATTCTACGTAAAATTGTAACAAGTTGCCACTAGTGTGACAGTTATCCTAGCTTTGGAAATTTTGAAATTAAAAAAATAATTGTTATATATTCAAGTTGTTGTTGTTAATTTACGTCGCACTAGAGCTGCACAATGGGCTATATATTCAAATACATATTTGAATAGGCAACATAAGATGACAAATAAAAGTAAAAAATACCACAATTTTTTTAGGACGTTTTGTGTTCTTCTGTAGAACATAAATTAGATAAGATACATTTAAGTTTATCACAATAATATTAAAATTTATAACGTGAAATTCTACGTATAATTGTAACAAGTTGCCACCAGTGTGACAATCATCCTAGATTTGGAAATTTTGAAAATAAAAAAATAATTGTTATATATTTAAATGCATATTTGAATAGGCAACATAAGATGACAAATAAAAGTAAATAATACCGCAACCTTCTTAGGACGTTTTGTGTTCTTCTGTAGAACTCTAGATGGTTCCTAAAAATTTTTTTAAGAAATTTTAGTAATAGTATTATCAATAAAAACATCATGAAATTTTTTCAAACTTAAAAATACACTTAAAATATTATAATTGAAAATATATTATAAATCTGCAATGTAGATAGTCAGAATGATATGGTTGATTCTTATCCCAATAATAAAACCAATTGGTGAGCAATCTAAGCTAAAATTTATTATAAATTTCATTTCTCTGTTATTAAATTATTAAGACATCATTTTCTAAAATTTTAGATAAAAAACTATGCACCAGGCAAAGTTTTGGCTACGTTTTTGTTTCTTTCCTGATTTGTTTATGTATGTTGAATTTTTGTTTAACTTTCTAAATCACATTTGAAAGAACAAATTCTGATATATTTTTTTTAACTTCAGCAGCTTGCTTTAAGATAATTTAGTTTATAAAATACATTTACTAAGAATAAGAGTTATGAAATTTTTAAACAATGCGATAAATGCCAATTTATACTTGCTTGATAAAATAGACAGAACTTGTTTAATTGCAATAAAATATTGAAAAAATTAGAAGACTAACACTGGCATTAGAGCTTGGTAATATGTATTTTAATCAAGAAAACACGAAATTTTTTTAAAATTAAAAATGTATTTAAAATATTATATTAGAAAATTTGTTATAAAACTGCCACATAAGCAGCCACGGAGATATGGTTGATTCCTATTCCAATTATAAAACCAGGAGATTGGTGAGCGATTGAATGGAAAATTTTTTGACCTTTCCTAACTCCGTTATTTCAATGAAAGAAAAGAAAAGAAATAGAGAAAAGACACTAGGAAATTTCATGAAAAAAAATCTTAAAATACGACCTTTTAGTGTGGTGCATTTGGAAGCAAATAAAACTTTAAAAACTATTTAAAAACTTCAAACACTTTTAAAACTATCATATGAGTAAATATAGAAAAGTAAGAAAACAATTTAAACATAAAGATATAGAGTTTTGAATAATTAAAGCATCATTTTCTAAAATTTTAAATATAAGACTTTGTATCAGGCAAAGTTTTGGTGACATTTTTGTCTTTTTCCTGCTTTGTTTATATATGCTGAATTTTTTTAATTTTCTAAATTACTTTTGAAAGAACAAATTCTACAATATTTTTTTTAATTTCAGTAGCTTGCTTTAGAATAATTAAGTTCATTAAAAACTTATAAAATAAAAACATTAAGGGAGAAAAAATAGTTATGAAGGCTTATTTTAAAACAATGCGATAAATGGTGCATAGTTTTTAATAATTTATGCTTTCTTGATAAAATGGTCAGCTTCTTTTTTAATGCAAATAAAATATTGAAAAAATTAGAAGACTAGCAGTGGTGTTATAGCCTGTTACTCCAGTAATTTTGTTAATCCGCTTTTGAATCGTGAACTACAAGCTGAAATATAATTTTTTTGTGTGCCTGAATTTGCTTTCATCAAAACCACATACAGGAAACTGGTAACCAAAACTTGCTAGCAACCTTTTTATTGACGCTTGAATAGATAGTTAGAGGCAAAAGAGAATACATTACTGTGTATCATCATTCACATGTTTCATTTATTTTCATAAATTAGTTAAGATACATTTATTTAAGTTTATCACAATAATATTAAAATTTATTACGTGAAATTCTTTGTAAAAATGTAACAAGTTGCCACTAGTGTGACAATCATCCTAGCTTTGGAAATTTTGAAAATAAAAAAATAATTGTTATATATTCAAATACATATTTGAATCGGCAACATATGATGAGAAATAAAAGTAAAATATACCACAACCTTTTTAGGACGTTTTGTGTTCTTCTGTAGAACTCTAGATGGTTCCTAAAATTTTTTTAAAGAAATTTTAGTAATAGTATTATCAATAAAAACATCATGAAATTTTTTCAAAATTAAAAATACATTTAAAATATTATAATTGAAAATACATTATAAATCTGCAATGTAGGCAGTCAGAATGATATGGTTGATTCGTATCCCAATAATAAAACCAATTGGTGAGCGATCAAAGCTAAAATTTATTGTAAATTTCATTTCTCTGTTATTAAATTATTAAGAAATAATTTTCTAAAATTTTAGATCTAAAACTATGTACCAGGCAAAGTTTTGGCGACATTTTTGTTTCTTTCCTGCTTTGTTTACGTACATTGAATTTTTTTTTTAACTTTCTAAATCACATTTGAAAGAACAAATTCTGCAATATTCTTTTTAACTTCAGCAGCTTGTTTTAAGATAATTTTGTTTATAAAATACATTTACCAAGAATAAGAGTTATGAAATTTTAAAAAAATGTGATTAATGCAGCAAAGTTTTAACAATTTATACTTCTTTGATAAAATAGACAGCTTCTGTTTAATTGCAATGAAATATTGCAAAAATTAGAAGACTAACAGTGGTGTTATAACTTGCTAATCCGTTTTTGAATCATGAAATTTTTTTAAAATTAAAAATATATTTAAAATATTATATTTGAAAATTTATTATAAATCTGCTATGTAAGCAGCCAGGGAGGTATGGTTGATTCCTATTCCAATTATAAAACCATTGGATTGGTGAGCGATTGATAGGAGAATGTTTTGACCTTTCCATACTTCGTTATTTCAATGAAAGAAAAGAAAAGAAATAAAGAAAACACATTAGGAAATTTCATGAAAAATATCTTAAAATACGACCTTTTAGTGTGGTGCATTTGGATGCAAAAAAACTTTAAAAACTATTGAAAAACTTCAAACTCTTTTTAAACTATCATATGAGTAAATATAGAAAAGTAAGAAAACAATTTAAACATAAAGATATAGAGTTGAGAATAATTAAAACATCATTTTCTAAAATTTTAGATATAAAACTATGTACCAGGCAAAGTTTTGGTGACATTTTCTTTTTTTTTTCCAGCTTTGTTCATGTATGTTGAATGTTTTTAACTTTCTTAATCACATTTGAAAGAACAAATTCTGCAAATATTCTTTTTAATTTCAGCAGTTTGCTTTCAGATAATTTAGTTTATAAAATACTTTTACTAAGAATAAGAGCTATGAAGGATTATTGTTAAACAATGCGATAAATGCAGCAAAGTTATAGCAATTTATACTTTCTAGAGAAAATTGTCAGCTTCTTTTTAATTGCAATAAAATATTTTAAAAAAAAGGGAAGCTAACAGTGGTGTTATAGCTTGTTAATTCGTATTTGAATCATGAACTACAAACTCCAAAATTAAAAGTTTTTTGCCTGAATTTGCTTTCATTAAAGCCACATACAGGATACTGATAACCAAAACAAGCGAGGAACCCTTTTATTGACACATGAATAGATAGTTGGAAGTCCAAGCTGGATTCTCCAGCAAGATGACTCATATAAATTTTTAGATCTTCACCGATTTTCGGGGATCAAACTATGCACATTATTGAATGGTTGATCTTGTTCTTTGATTTCAATCATTATGAAAATAAAAAGGAGTATCTTTCATAGGGCTGTTAATCCACTGTATAGCCTGTTAATCCACTAATCTTGTTAATCTTCGTTTAAATCATGAACTACAAGCTTCAATATGAAATTTTTTTTTGCCTGAATTTGAATTCATTAAAGTCACACACAGGAAACTGGTAATCAAAACTTGCTAGCAACCCTTTTATTGACACTTGAATAGATAGTTAGAGGTAAAAGAGAATACATTACTGTGTTACATCATTCACATGCATAATTTATTTTCATAAATTAGTTAAGATACATTTATTTACGTTTATCACAAATAATATTAAAATTTATTATGTGAAACTCTACGTAAAATTGTAACAAGTTGCCACTAGTGTGAAAATTATCCTAGTTTTTGAAGTTTTGAAAATAACAAAATAATTGTTATATATTCAAATACATATTTGAATAGGCAACATAAGATGATAAATATAAGTAAAAAATACCACAACCTTTTTAGGACGTTTTGTGTTCTCCTGTAGATCTGTAGATGGTTCCTAAAATTTTTTTTAAAGAAATTTCAGTAATAGTATTATCAATAAAAACATCATGAACTTTTTTCAAAATTTAAAATACATTTAAATATTATAATTGAAAATATATTATAAATCTGCAATCTAGGTAGTCATATTGATATGGTTGATTCTTATCCCAAAAATAAAACCAATTGGTGAGCGATCTAAGATAAAATTTATTATAAATTTTATTTCTCTGTTATTAAATTATTAAAACATCATTTTTTAAAATATTAGATATAAAACTATGTACCAGGCAAAGTTTTGGCGACATTTTTGCTTCTTTCTTGCTTTGTTTATGTATGTTGAATGTTTTCAACTTTTTTAATCACATTTGAAAGAACAAATTCTGCAAATATTCTTTTTAACTTCAGCAGTTTGCTTTCAGATAATTTAGTTTATAAAATACATTTACTAAGAATAAGAGTTATGAAGGGTTATTTTAAAAAAATGCAATAAATGCAGCAAAGTTTTTAACAATTTATACTTTCTCGATAAAATAGTCAGCTTCTTTTTAATTGCAGTAAAATATTTAAAAAAAAGGGAAGGCTAACAGTGGTGTTATAGCTTGTTAATCCGTATTTGAATCATGTACTACAAAATCAAATATTAAAAGTTTTTTTTTCCTGAATTTGCCTAATACAGGATACTAATAACCAAAACAAGCGAGGAACCCTTTTATTGACACATGAATAGATAGTTGGAAGTCCAAGTTGGAGTGTCCAGCAAGATGACTCATATCAATTTTTTAGATCTTCACTGATTTTCCGGGATCAAATTATGCACATAATCAAATGGTTGATCTTGTTCTTTGATTTCAATCATTATGAAAATGAGAGGGAGTATCTTTCATAGGGCTGTTAATCCACTGTATAGCCTGTTAATCCACCAATCTTGTTAATCTGCGTTTAAATCATGAACTACAAGCTTCAATATAAATTTTTTTTTGCCTGAATTTGCTTTCATTAAAAACCACATACAGTATACTGATAACCAAAACTAGAGAGGAAGCCTTCAATTGACACTTGAATAGATAGAGGGAAAGGTTGGATTCTGCAGCAACATGCCTCATATAAATTTATAAGATATTTATGGATTTTCAGGGATGAAAGTATGCACGTTATTGCATGATCTAACTTGTTCTTTGATTTCAATCATAATGAAAATGAAAGGGAGTATCTTTCTTAGGGCTGTATATGCTACAGACAAGCAGTTTAAGTTTGTGGCTAAATTTCAGAATGCACTAATTTAAAATTAGAGAAAAATTGATGTTACTACCTTCAAGGATCATACATTTCAAGTCACAGATAAATATACTGCATATGATAGCTATCAATAAAAGTGACTTTATGGAACTTTTTTCTTCTGCTTATTTACTTACCGTATTTTTTTGCTGAAAGCGTGGCAGTGCTATCGAAAAAAAAAACAACATTTTCCCCACATGCGGCGCTTCCAATGAAGTAGTTTTTAGTAGCAAAAGAATTTATCAAAGAGAATTATTTAAGAGGAAATAATTTTCTGCGAGAAACGCTATTAAAAAAATTAATAACGAAGTCGACGAAATATTCGCCCGTATGGAAATCTGCTGCAGAATAATTGCCAATTCTAAGCAAACTTTCGGCAGCAGCCAGCAAGAAAATAAATAGACGAAATAATAATTAAGAAAACCATTGCATAAGGAAATCAATTTAAAAGGTATGCATCTTGTATCCACCCCCAGCTTAAAGAGAGATTGCAAGCTAGAAATCCACTTAGCACCTTGGCAATTGTAATTGGAGCGAACAGGTAAGGAAGTAATAGGACCCAAATCCGGCATTCATGGGACCGACGAAATTCCGTATTTCGGAATTTGCCGAACTTTGGATCTCTTTCGGAAATTCCAATATGGCCCCCATATATTACTATAATTCAATTATACTCTAAATTTCAGAAAAACCAATAAATTTAGTTAAGTTTAGATCATAGATTATGATGGCGTGAATTTAAAACTGGCCCATCTTAAGAAATTTTATTAATTAAAATAATAATCTATATAATACAATCAAGAAGAAATAATCCGAATCCTTCGAAGAAAGAATTGTTTCTTAGTTCTTGTTTTTTCCTTTAGATAACATTTTGTTTCAACGAAAAACGCTCACCTCACAAAGAAGAAGCCAACAAGTAACTACAAAAAAAAAGTAACAATTAATGCTAAGAAACTAACAATGAATAACTACAAGAAACAAGCTAACAGCTAATAACGATAAAAAACAAGCAAACAACTAATGATGAGAAAAAAAACAAGCTAACTATTAACAAAACAAACAGTTAATAACTAATAAAAAAAGCCGCAAAATAAGAAATAAATAAATCGAATTGTAAAAAAAAAACGTAAAAGGGATAGGACTCATTTTGTACTCCACATGGTAGTTTTAATGTCAACTGGGTGTGGCCAAACCAGTAGAGCACAAGCACAGCTGTCAAGATTGATTGATCAGTTTCTTCCAACTTGCATTTCTTTATTTTGTTCATTGGAAATGCAGGTTTTTTTCACTTTATTTTAAACTGCTTTAGTAACAGATGTTTTGTTTGACACAGATTTATTATTTTTTTTCATGCTTTTTTATTTTTAAAAGATAAAATAAAGTTACTTAATTCAACAGAATAAAATTCCAAATAAAAAGAGAATATAACTGATTTATTTTTTGTCTTATCATTAAAAATTTCTCTAAAAAAATTAGATTGGATTAAGGGCCGAATTTCAGGATGCCAGATAGGAGTCCAATACTATATCCCCTTTTCTTTTCCCCAACCCCTTAAAAATTAACCAATTTAATCCTCCTAAACAGCTTAAGTAGAAATGACAAGCGGAGGAGGTGGGGTACACCCTTCTTTTAAACATTTTCTTCTCTCTTTCTAAGCTAAGTCATATTGTGTTATTTCCATTGAACGAGAGGGCATTCTACCCACTAAAATTCCACCCCCAAAGATTGTGAAAGTTAAACTCGTTTCTGCTTCGCTCATTCCTACGTCAGAATTTTTTTGGAGCACTTAGTTATTTCTTATCCCTGTTATCATTAGTTATTTCGTTATTTTTAGTAGTTTTGTTATAATTAATTTTTCCTCAAATTATTAAATGTAATAAACTTTTAAATAGATTTTTTAAAAAATTTTTAGCTTAAATTTGGAATTTTTTTTTATTACATTATTTTACAGATTTCTGTAATCAGTTGTAGTGCTAATTTTTCCGCTAAATATGGTTGAATTATTTTTTTTATCATAGAAGAATAATTTATTTTCTAAACATTTGAGATTCTCTAACCTTTTTCTCTCAAACTCCGACCCTCCCAACGCAAGGTTTTTATCAGCGCAGCTGAGTATATAAAATTTTATTTCCTGTTAATTATTTGCTCTTCTGTTTTTTGGCACAGTGCCAACTGGTAAGAACAACTTTATTTCAAATCGTTTTGTTGCTCTGAAAAAGAAAACTTTTTCATGTGAACCCTTTGTTAATGCATTTTAGGCCATTCTCTCCCCCCAAATAAGTTAGAAATTAGGTTATTTGCTGTTTTTAAAAATATTTTGTTGTACTTAACAATATTTTCAGACCATTTATAAGGATTATTTATTAAGCACGCTTATTCCAAATTAACCCGTATCAACGATAATATAGTTCAGCCTTGCCTAAACAGCAAATGAACGGACCTGTTAACGGATTTTAATTTTTTTTAATAATTTAGAAATTAAAACCTTATTTTATGAAATGCATAAAATTTTTTTCTATTATACAGATGGTAATTCAAAGGTCTCTTCGATAAGGATGCTGATATGCGCGGTGTAGCTCTGCTGCGGCACTTGTGCCAGAGCAACACTTATGGTAACTTTCTTTAAAAAATTTTCCCATTTTTTGATAAGTGGCGCTTTCACCAGAAAATATGGTAGTATTTTTCCTATTTAAGTAAGAAATGTCAGTAAATATACATTTGTGTACAGAATTTATGAATTTGATTTTCCTTGAGTTCATTTAAGGAATATAATAAAGGTTATTTGAGTGGGACATATCTTATGATGAAATTTTTAATACAATTTTTAGCATATTTAAGATTATATATTTTTTAAAACAGACAGAAAACACTGACAGACATTCCGACATTAAGTAATATAATAAAGTAAAAATTTTTTTAAATCATTTCAGAACATTTCAATATTGCTGTTTCAAACTTATAACTGATCTTTAATATATGATTTGATTACTTACCTAATCAAAAGTTTTTTGACAATAATTTTTTACTTTAAATTGAGTCACACTTTAACTTACATTTAAAAGGTGCAGCGTTTTTTCGGCAGGAGACAATTCCAAGACATTTTCATGCGGCCCATTCTACCAAAAAAAAAAAAAAAAAAAAACCAAATATATAAAAGTTTATGCAGTAAAAGTATTATGTTTTAACGTAATCTTGAAATTTATTTTTATATAAAAAGAAAACTAAAAGTGTTCAGGGAAATTTCCGACATTAATATCATTTATTTGATCTTTGTGTTTACCAATTAATCTATTTTCCATTTCACACTCTTCAAAAAGAATACATTCTTACTATGTTACAGCATTCACATGCTCAAATTATTATCATTAATTAGTTAAGATTTGTTTATTTAAGTTTATCACAAATAATATGAAATTTATAATGTGATATTCTACAAAAAGCTGTTACAAATTGCCACAATCGTTCATCACAAGTTGCTAGTGTGAAAATCATCCTAGCTTTGAAAATTTAGATAATAAAAAAAAATTGCTATATATTTATTACATATTTGAAATGTTTGAATAGGCAACATAAGATAACAAATATAACTAAAAAATATCACAACCTTTATAGAACATTTTGTCTTCTGCCGTGGAACTGTAGTTCTTTTCCTTTGTACAAATCCAGTCTGTTTCTAAAAAATTTATTTAAGAAATCTCAGTAATAGGAATATAAATAAAAACATGAAGTATTTTCAAAATTAAAAATACATTTAAAATATTATATTGAAAATTTATTATAAAGCTGCAAGGTAGGCAGTCAGGGAGATATGGTTGATTCCTATTCCAATAATAAAACCAGGGGATTGGTGAGCGATTTAATGGAAAATTTTTCGACTTTTTCTTAGTCGGTTATTTCAATGAAAGAAAAGAAATGAAATAAAGAAAAGACACTAGGAAATTTCATGAAAAAAATCTTAAAATATGACCTTTTAGTGTAGTGCATTTGGATGCAAAAAAAAAAATTAAAAACTTCAAATACTTTTAAAACTATCATATGAGTAAATATAGAAAAAGTAAGAAAACAATTTAAACATAAAGATATAGAGTTGTGAATAATAAAAAAATCATTTTCTAAAATTTTAGACATAAAACTATGTATCAGGCAAAGTTTTGGTGAAATTTTTGTCTTTTTCCTGCTTTGTTTATATATGCTGAATTTCTGAACTTTCTAAATTGCTTTTGAAAGAACAAATTCTGCAATATTCATTTTAATTTCAGCAGTTTGGTTTACAATAATTAAGTTTATAAAAAACTCATAAAATGAAAAAATTAAGGGAGAAAAATAGTTATGAAGGATTATTATAAAACAATGCGATAAATGGAGCATAGTTTTTAACAATTTATGCTTTCTTGAGAAAATGGCCAGCTTCTTTTTTAATGCAATAAAATATTTTAAAAAATTAGAAGACTAGCAGAGGTGTTATAGTCTGATACTCCACAAATTTTGGTAATCCGCGTTTGAATCGTGAACTACAAGTTCAAATATAAATTTTTTTTTTGTCTGAATTTGCTTTCATTGAAGCCACATACAGGAAACTGGTAACCAAAACTTGCTAGCAGCCCTTTTATTGACACCTGAATAGATAGTTAGAGGCAAAAGAGAATACATTACTGTGCTACATCATTCACATGCTTCATTTATTTTCGTAAATTACTTAAGATATATTTAATTAAGTTTATCACAAATAATATTAAAATTTATAATGTGAAATTCTACGTAAAATTGTAACAAGTTGCCACCAGTGTGACAATCATCCTAGCTTTAGAAATTTTGAAAATAAAAATATAATTGTTAAATATTCAAATACATATATGAATAGGCAACATAAGATGACAAATAAAAGCAAAAAATACCACAACCTTTTTAGGACGTTTTGTGTTCTTCTGTAGAACTCTAGATGGTTCCTAAAAATTTTTTTTAAGAAATTTTAGTAATAGTATTATCAATAAAAACATCATGAAATTTTTTCAAACTTAAAAATACATTTAAAATATTATAATTGAAGATATATTATAAATCTGCAATGTAGGTAGTCAGAATGATATGGTTGATTCTTATCCCAATAATAAAACCAATTGGTGAGCGATCTAAGCTAAAATTTATTATAAATTTTATTTCTCCGTTATTAAATTATTAAGAAATCATTTTCTAAAATTTCAGATATAAAACTATGCAGCAGGCAATGTTTTGGCGACGTTTTTGTTTCTTTCCTGCTTTGTTTATGTATGTTGAAATTTTTTTAACTTTCTAAATCACATTTGAAAGAAAAATTCTGCAATATTCTTTTTAACTTCAGCAGCTTGCTTTAATATAATTTAGTTCATAAAATACATTTACTATGCATAAGAGTTATGAAATTTTAAAAAAATGTGATAAATGCAGCAAAGTTTTAACAATTTATACTTCTTTGATAAAATAAACAGCTTCTGTTTAATTGCAATGAAATATTGAAAAAATTAGAAGACTAACAGTGGCGTTATAGCCTGCTAATCCGTTTTTGAATATTTAAAATTTTTTTAAATTAAAAATATATTTAAAATATTATATTTGAAAATTTATTATAAAACTGCCACATAATCAGACAGGGAGATATGGTTGATTCCTATTCCAATTATAAAACCAGGGGATTGATGAGCGATTGAAAGAAGAATTTTCTGACCTTTCCTTACTCCGTTATTTCAATGAAAGAGAAGAAATATAGAAAAGACACTAAGAAATTTCATGCAAAAAATCTTAAAATACGACCTTTTAGTGTGGTGCATTCGGATGCAAGAAAAACTTTAAAAACTATTTAAAAACTTCAAACTCTTTTTAAACAATCATATGAGTAAATATAGAAAAGTAAGAAAAAAATTTAAACATAATAATACAGAGTTGTGAATAACTAAAACATCATTTTCTAAAATTTTAGATATAAAACTATGTATCAGGCAAAGTTTTGGTGAACTTTTTGTCTTTTTCCTGCTTTGTTTTTATATGCTGAATTTCTGAACTTTCTAAATTGCTTTTGAAAGAACAAATTCTGCAATATTCATTTTAATTTCAGCAGTTTGCTTTAGAAAAATTTAGTTTATAAAAAACTTATAAAATAAAAAAATTGAGGGAGAAAAAATAGTTACGAAGGATTATTTTAAAACAATGTGATAAATGGAGCATAGTTTTTAACAATTTATGCTTTCTTGATAAAATGGTTAGCTTCTTTTTTAATGCAACATAATATTGAAAAAAATTAGAAGAATAGCAGTGGTGTAATAGCATGTTACTCCACTAATTTTGTTAATCCGCATTTGAATCGTGAATTACAAGCTCAAATATATATTTTTTTTTTGCCTGAATTTACTTTCATTAAAGCCACATACAGGAAACTGGTAACGAAAACTTGCTAGCAACCCTTTTATTGACACTTGAATAGATAGTTAGAGGCAAAAGAGAATACATTACTGTGTTACATCATTCACACGTTTCATTTATTTTCATAAATTAGTTAAGATACATTTATTTAAGTTTATCACAATAATATTAATATTTATAATGTGAAATTCTACGTAAAATTGTAAAAAGTTGCCAACAGTGTGACAATCATCCTAGCTTTAGAAATTTTGAAAATAAAAAAATAATTGTTATGTATTCAAATACATATTTGAATAGGCAACATAAGATGACAAATAAAAGTAAAAAATACCACAACCTTTTTAGGACGTTTTGTGTTCTTCTGTAGAACTCTAGATGGTTCCTAAAAATTTTTTAAAGAAATTTTAGTAATAGTATTATCAATAAAAACATCATGAAATTTTTTCAAACTTAAAAATACGTTTAAAATATTATAATTAAAAATATATTATAAATCTGCATTGTAGGTAGTCAGAATGATATGGTTGATTCTTATCCCAATAATAAAACCAATCGGTGAATGATCTAAGCTAAAATTTATTAAACATTTAATTTCTCAGTTATTAAATTATGAAGACATCATTTTCTAAAATTTTAGATATAAAACTATGTTTCAGGCAAAGTTTTGGCGACATTTTTGTTTCTTTCCCGCTTTGTTTATGTATGTTGAAATTTGTTTAACTTTCTAAATCACATTTGAAAGAACAAATTCTGCAATATTCCGTTTAATTTCAGCAGTTTGCTTTAAGATAATTTAGTTTATAAAATACATTCACTAAGAATAAGAGTTATGAAATTATAAAACAATGCAATAAATGCAGCAAAGTTTTAACAATTTATACTTTCTTGATAAAATAGACAGCTTCTCCTTAATTGCAATAAAATATTGAAAAATTAGAAGACTAACTGTGGCGTTATAGCTTGCTAATCCGTTTTTGAATCATGAAAACCATCATGAACTTCTTTTAAAATTAAAAAAAAATTTAAAATATTATATTTGAAAATTTATTATAAAGCTGCCAGGCTTTAAAATATTATATTTGAAAATTTATTATAAAGCTGCTAAAATTTATTATAAAGCTGCTTTCATTAAATTGAGATATGGTTGATTCCTATTCCAATTATAAAACCAGGGGATTGGTGAGCAATTGAATGGAAAATTTTTGATCTTTCCTTTCTCCGTTATTTCAATGAAAGAAAAGACGCTGGAAATTTAATGAAAAAAATCTTAAAATATGACTGTCATGCCTCCATGCTGTGTTGGTGCAGTGATCAAGTGTAGAGGTAGTGAATATGTAAGAGTTCGCACGAAGTGGCAGTGAAGTAAAGAGGTTCTTTCGTAGGAGGAGTCAAGGGATCGGAGAAATTATTGTTTCGACAATGCGATATCACAGCACGCTCTCATACGAGAACCAGAGCATAGATTAAAGTATGAGATTTATCACATTCTGTTTATGAAAAACATTTTAAGAATTGAATTATGAGAAGTGTTAATTGTAAAGGAGAGAGCACAATAAAAATGTGAGAAAAAGAACAATCCATTTGTGGTGATATAATTTGTGAAGTATTTAAAATATAGAGCTATCAATGGCCAAAACATGGTCAGTAGACCCCGAGATGATTTATGCGAACTTCTGGAGCATAATATTTAATTCTGTGTTTCGAGTGACAGTTTTGGGTTTGTTGGAGAACGATCCCCGATACAGCGAAAGAGCAATGTCTTTCCCGTTTTGAGTAATAATAATAACTTCGTTGTGTATGATTTATGTTATAGGGGTAAGTGGAATTTTCGATTAATTGTAATTTGTCAACATTGAAGCTTTTGGTTTATTATGTGTATTGCTTTAGTGGAGTTAGTTAACTTTTAAAATTAGTGTTTAGTTTAGAGAATTGCTTTTGATGAAAGTGTGTTGAGTAGTTGATAGAGTTACTGATTTTAAGGTGTAGTTCTTGCAATAGCTAAATATAAAACTGGCACTTAAGTTGAACTTAAAAAAGGATGAGTTAATTACGATTGCAGAAGAATTGGGTTTAATAATTCCAGAAAATGCTAAAATAGTGGATTTAAAGTGCTTAATTGAATCTAGTGATACATTTAAAACTAATATTGAGTTTTCGTGTGTTTAAATTGAGAATGTTTTGGAAGAAAAAAGGGAAAGGTTAGAAAAAGCAAAACGAGAATCAGAATAGGAAATAGAGTTAGAAAAGTTAAAATTAGCTCAATTAGAAAAGCAGTTAAAAATTGCGAATATTAGAGGTAACCTAGTTGACACGTCTAAGACTACAGTGACCAGTGAAACGGATTGCGAAAATTTAATAAAATGCGTTAAAACATTTACAATTCGAGCGCCGAATAAGTCAGAATGGTGGGGCTTTTTTTCTTACTTCCTTAGAAAGAGCCTTTAAAACAAAAAATATGTCCGAGAAATATAAAGCAGAGATTTTACTAAACTTGTTGGGGGAAAAGGTGTCTAATATTTTAACTTATATAACAGAGAAAGATCTAAACAATTATGAAGTGATTAAATCAATTGTTTTGAGAGAACTTGAACCCACCGTGCAGGCAGTATTTGAGAATTTTAGAAGGGCATCAATAGAAAACGAAACACATATACAATTTGCTTCGCGCTTAAATACGAGTTTCGATTACTATTTAAATTTGAGAGAAGAAAAGGATTTTGAAACTTTAAAGCAATTGATAGTGTCAGACAAACTGTTTCAGACAGTAGATCGAGATACAGCCTCACATATTAATGTTAGACAGTCCGAAAAATGGTTTAAACTACTTGAGTTAGCAAAAGAATGCGACCTATATTTTATATCTCGAGGAAAAATTATAACTGATAAGAGAACCGAATTAAGGGCTTATAACAACAATCGCAATTGGAATGGAATAACTATGTATGTTCCACCACCTTTGAGAAAATCTCCATTTACTAGAGAAAACAAATATTTTCGCCACACACGCGAGTGTTATATTTGTTCTAGTAAGTCACATATGGCTAAGAGTTGCCCAAATAGAAGAAATAAATATTATGAACAAACAAATAAAGCCGGTAATGATATTCAAAACAAAACACAAAGTAACACACAAACGTCTATAAATAAATCCAGGGATAATACTGCAAAGGTTACAAATGTAAATTTGAAACATTTACAGAGTTCTAAAAAAACTTTAAATTAAATTAATTTGTACCCGTTACAAAAAGTCTTCATTTCTATTGCAAGTAGACAAATAGATGCAATCATCGATAGCGGGGTTGAGATCTTTATTTTGAATACGCCCTTACTTCCATTTTCAGAAATAGAAGCCAAGGGAAAAATAATTTTACAATCCACATTTAAAGAACAAGTCGAGGCGAAATTAGCAATATTGCCTGCTTATTATAAAAACCCTGATGATTGTCTATTTTATAGTTCAAATATTTTGTTTGCTCCAACAGATAAATTAAACATCCCTTGTTTAATTACACCGGACGCCTATAACTCTTTAATTTATCAAAATGATGACTCAGTCAAAATCGAAAATGCTTTAGTCCAATGCGACCCATTAGTAGATGTGGGGGAAGAAATGAATAAAAGTTCATTGAGGCCAGAGGATTCATTTTCTCAATCAGAAGAAAGTGAATCAGGGTGCAGTGCTTAATGTCGGATACTAATAAATTATGCAGTTATAATGATGAATATTCAGGGGGTAATAAATTTCGAGAAATGCACAAAGATTATTTAACTTTAAAGAATTCGTTCAAAGATGCTAGTTTGAAAAAGAAGAATTTCTTTTTGCGGGATGATTTATTATTTCATAAAGATAAAATTTGTGGCGATACAATATATCAATTAGTATTACTTTAAATGTAAAGGGATAAAGTTCTTCAATTAGCTCATAATGAGAATCATTTAGGAATACGAAAAACTAAGAAACACATAAAATTATCTTTTTATAGGCCTAATGTTTCAAAAGATTTTGAAAATTATTCTAAAACCTGTGAAAATTGTCAATTAAAAAGGCCGGAGCGAAAATCTGATAAAATTCCTATAACCCCTGTCATTAGAGCTCCATATCCTTTTCACACGATAAATATTTTAATTATAGAAATTGTTCCACCCTCGGGTAGAAAACATAAGTATTGTTTATGTTTAATTGATCAAAATTCTAGATGACCTGAAGTGGTCCGACTAAAAAATTTGCTTGCCAAGACAACATGCAATGCCCTTTTAGAGATATTCATGCGTACCGGAATTCCTGAAGTAATTTGCAGTGACCAGGGTACTAACTTTACTTCGCAATTGACGAAAGAATTTGAAAATAGGTTAGGAGAAGTCCTCGATTTTCCACTCCATCTTACCAGAGCCGGATTTACGTAGAAGCTAAATAAGCTGTAGCTTGGGGCCCCGAGATGACAAGGGCCCCCAGATCCTACTTTCCCCCTTCTTTTTTTAAAGTTTTATTCGGAGCTGAGGCCCTCAGAAGTCCAAAATGCAATTTTTTTTTCTTTTTTACATTGTCGGACATAATAAATATAAATAAATGACTGAATGAAACAAAAAACTTCGTTGTCATTAGAAGGGAACATATCATCTTTCAAGCAATTTGAGTATTAATAAATTATTTATAAATAAACAATTTTTTAGTTTAAAAGGTAAAAAAGTTTTTTTTTGCCCCATCATTCGATCATCGGACTATTTCATATCTGTTTCTAAGGATCAGAATTCCCTTTTATTTTACTCTAAAATTGCACAAATGATATATTTAACGCTTTCATGTGATATGCAGCAGTTTTAAATAGCACTTTAAAATATCTAAAAAAGGACAGAAATTGTCAGTTCAAAAAAAAAAAATTAACTAATACTTTTAAATAAGAATTTAAATAACTACACACGTTTGTTTTACTATCTCATTTAATATAGCAATATTTAGTGTAGACAGTTGCGTGTGGGTGTGATGATGACGTAATAAAAGAGGCATACAAAAAAGTTAAAATCCTCAATATTATATTTTTAAACTCCTCGAAATGGTAAAAGAGGTATACAAATTAACTGTCGCAAACAAATTAATATTAAGTAAGAACGAAACAAAAAATGATATCGAAATATGCTGATTCACTAATGAGACCGGGATGAAACCTATTTGATTGTAATAGTATAACTAGAAGGTGTTTCTAAAATTCTGAAATCTATCAGGCTTTAATTTTTTTTTCTGTCACAAACTTTATCAGTAATTAAAAATAATAAATTCGTTAGATTTCAATATTGGTTCTTTTTTTTCGCTGATTAAATGTTAAAAATTAACAGATATTTGTCTTTTAAAAACATTTCACTCTATAATAAGATAATTATTCTACAATTGTAATTATCTAAAACTAATTGCTAATTGATATAAAGCTTTAGTGCGTTCCATTGATATGTTGAATGCTCGTTTTGGCTGGATGCCCGGGACTGTTGCTCTTTCACATCCTAGCCACTATACACCATCAAGAGCAGAGCTGATACTTTAAACCCGTATGACATTTATTCTCTCTGATATTTAATAGACCCTTTAATAAATCCTTAAAAATATAAGCCAAACATTTACATAAATAATGATAATTTTTTTCTCTCACAAAAATTTAGCAAATGTACTTAAAATAATTAAAAAGAAAGCAAAAATAATGAAGAAATATTTTCAATATAAACATCAATTAAATAATATCAGCTTACGAAAAGTTATTTTTATTTATACAAACAGTATTAATATAACGGCCCTCCCCTGCTCCAGGGACTGCTGGATTGGGTTCAAAATTACAAGGCTACGGAGTTGAATATTGGTAGTCGTAAACTCGAAATTGGGTCGACTGTTCAACGACGGTTATAAAATAAACTAATAAATTTGGCCGGGATAGACTGGTTGATAGGGCGTTAGACTCGTGTTCGTGAGAATGAGAGTTTGAATCCAGCCGGCAGAAGAATACCCATGTATAAAATGGGGACTGGTGCATGTTAAAACTGTCGGGGTCACAATGTCCTCCAAGTTCTCATAACAAATTAATACTTCTAGGTACTAATCTAGCAGTTCCCTTGTCTTCTGGATTGGGTTCAAAATTACAAGGCTACGGAGTTAAACATTGATAGCCGCAAACTCAAAATTGAGTCGATTGTTCAACGGCGGTTATAAAAAAATAAAACTAATAATCAAACTGTATTTTGTTGTTTTCTTTCCAATTTTTTGCATATTTTCTACGCACATTCAAAATTTCATGTTTCTAAGTCTTATAGATTTTGTAACGTAAAGCGAAAAATTCGCGAAAAAATCATTAAGAATTGCAAATAAAATACATTCAAAATGAATCTAAAAAAAAAAACTCTGTCAAATATATAGTGGCTCAGCATGCCAAATTTTTACTCTGTGCTTAAAATGTGTTTCTTTTGTAACTTTTCCCCTCGTTCAAAAAAAATTTGCAATAAAAGAAAGGTTCTACATAATAGTCTCATCACAATTAATATACAGGGTGTTTATAAATTCCCGGACCCATTTCGATGTTCAATAACTCATAAAGTAATGAAGATATAAACAAACTTATGGCATTTATTGATGGAATAACTCATATATTTTCCTTTTCGGGTTGGAACATCTTTACTTTTGTAAATATCGTCTACGCGTGTGGTTAATTTCAGATAATTTCATTTTCTAGTCTGAATATCTATACTTTTCTAAATAGCGTCTGCTTATTAATTGCATTTTTCTCTCTTTTGTTTTTGGCAACTATTGCAATGTTATGTTTACTTTTGATGTGTTTGTTCTATGTAGTACTTTTCTATGTGATGTTTCATTCGAGCGGATATTATGGAGAATGCATACACCACAAGAGAAAGCACAGATTTTATGGTGGTTCATAGAAACGAAATCGATAGTGCAAGCACAGAGAAATTGCAGATGAATTTACCAAAAAGATCCTCCATCCAAAGGCAGCATCTTGCGGCTGAAAAAGAATTCTCTAGAAACTGGAAGTATCGCAGATAAGAAACATTCCGGACGTCCCTGCACAAGTGATTTTGACGTTGAGCATGTCAGACAGACATTTTTAGACAATCATAGAAGATCTGTGAGATCAGTGGCAAGAGAATTGGATATGCCAATTTCGACGGTGTATAAGGTTATTAAGAAACAATTAAGACTACATGCATACAAAGTTCAAATTGTTCAAGGTTTGGAACCGGACGTCAGGCCTAAGAGGATGGCGCTTGTAACAGATATGGTAGGAAGGGTAGAAGATGATGCTGATTTTTTGAAGCGCATAATGTTCTCCGACGAAGCATCCTTTCATGTTTCTGGCATTGTTAATCGCCATAATGTACGCATATGGGGATCTGAAAGCCCCCATGAATACCGTGAGACACAAAGGTATTCCCCAAAGGTTAATGTGCGGTGTGGACTAATGCACGACCGAGTCATTGGGCCTTTCTTTTTTACAGAAAAGATGGTCTCATCAGTCGTATATTTAGACATGTTGGAAAACTTCGTATTTCCACAACTAGAAGAGCCACATGTCTTTTTGCAACAAGATGGTGCACCACCTCATTGGGGTATCATCGTTCGTAGTTCTTTGAATGACCATTTTACAGGAAGATGGATTGGGCGAGAAGGTCCAATTCCTTGGCCACCCAGATCAGCTGATATACCGCCGCTGGACTTTTTTCTTTGGGGATTTATAAAGGACAATGTTTACAGGAGGATCGTGTCGAACATTGATGACCTAAAAGCCAGAATTACAACCGCAATAGCCTCTGTGGATGCCGACATGTTTGCTGCTACCTGGCGTGAAATCGACTTGATATTCTCCGTGCGACGAAGGGGGCACGCTGTGGTGCGCAAGAGCAATAACATAACAAGCATTTATATTTAGTTTTATGAAAAATAAAAACAACGTTGCTAAGACAACTCAATATTAATTACTATCTTGACGTTCCAGACATTGGGATGTAAAAGTATTAATGGATTTATATATTTTATATTAACTTGTAAATAACTGTGTATATTAAATGTTGTGATGTCTCCAATTTACTTCGTTTTTATTTATCCAAAATCGCACATAGTAGGAAGATAGAAAACCTTCCCTTACAACGCGTGGAAGTTCATTGACAAGGGTCATGAAACTTTTTGAGTCTATCTAACCATCTATGTTATTAATTTTAATCCCTTATTTTATGAGTTATTAAACATCAAAATGGGTCAGGGACTTTATAAACACCCTGTATTTAACAATAAAGTAATATTATCAAATTTTTTAATAATGTAATGTTGCAACAATAAAAAATAATGACAGTTTACTTTAGGTGTATAGAAATGGAATTGAACTTATAAGGGCCCCATCATTTTCAGTAGCTTAGGGCCCCACCAAGCTTAAATCTGGCCCTGCATCTTACCCAGCTTTGAATGGTTTAATAGAAAAATGGAATAGGGTATTTAAACAGAAGTTACACCATGTGATCCATTCAGATCCTACCGATTGAGATAAATATATTCCATATATACTTTTTGCGTAGCAAGAAGTACCAAATTGTACGATGGGAATATCACCTTTTAAACTTATGTATTGACGCGAAGCTAGAGGCCCTTTGTCAGTTCTAAAATCTTCTTGGTCAGGTGAGATTTCTATTGCAATATCGTATCAAGGATTCTTTTCACCTATAGTTGTATATACATTTTTGTAGAAATTTGACTTGTATATAGTAATTGTATATATTATGTGTTATAACCAGGCAACTATACATTTGTCATATTTCTACTATTTTTATCTGCATTTTGCATATTTTAAGTGTTAGTAATTGTAACAAGCATTCTATTCATCTGTTTTATTTACAATTAAGTGTTAAATATATTTTTATACATACTATCCTACTGTATGGTTCAGATTTCGCTATACCGGGTGAAGCGCAATGTTGTGATGGCACGGTGATCAAGTGTAGAGGTAATGAATAGGTAAGAGTTCGCATGAAGTGGCTGTGAAGTAAAGACGTTTTTTTGTAAGAGTCTAGGGCTCTGAGAAATTATTGTCAAGACAGTGCGATTTCACAATGACCGTTTAGTGTGGTTTACTCGTATGTAAAAAAAACAACTTTACTTTTAAAACTATCATATGAGTAAATATAAAAAAGTAAAAAAAAAAACAATATAAAGATACAGAGTTATAAATTATTAAAACATCACTTTTTAAAATTTTAAAAGATATAAAACTAGATCTCAGGCAAAGTTATGGTGACATTTTTGTTCCTTTCCTGCTTTTTTTTATGTATGTTGAATTTTTTTTAAATTTCTAAATAGCATTTAAAACTTTTTTTAAATTTAAATCATTCTAGCTTTGGAAAACTTGATAATAATAATAAAAAAACTGCAATAAAAAAGGCAGAATAGATATTTGAAATATTTGAATTGGCAACAAAAGATAACAAATATAAGTAAAATATACTACAACCTTTTTAGGATGTTTTGTCTTATTCTGTAGAACTCTAGATAGTTCCTAAAAAATTTTTTTAAGAAATTTTAGTAATAGTATTATCAATAAAAACATCATGAAATTTTTTCAAAATTAAAAATACATTTAAAATATTATAATTGAATATTGAATATATATTATAAAGCTGCAATGTAGTTAGTCAGGTTGATTCTTCTGTTATTTTAATGAAAGAGAAGACATAGGAAATTTAATGAAAAAAATCTGAAAATATGACCTTTTAGTGTGGTGTGTTTGGATGTAAAGAAAACTTTACTTTTAAAATTATCATGAGTAAATATAAAAAGTAAGAAAACAATTTAAAAACAAAGATATAGAATTGTGAATTATTAAAACATATTTTTTTTAAATTTCAGATGATATAAAACTAGATCCTAGGCATATCTTCGGCAACATTTTCATTCCTTTCCTGCTTTGTTTATGTATGTTGAATTCTTTTAACTTCTTATATCACATTTGAAAAAATAAATCTTGCAATATTCTTTTTAATTTCAGCAGCTTGCTTTAAGTTAATTTAATTTCTAAAATACATTTACTAAGAGAGAATAAGAGTTATGAAAGTTCATTTTAAGACAATGCGATAAATGGAGCAATGTTTGTAACAATTTATATTTTCTTGATAAAATGGTCGGTTGCTATTTTAATGAAATAAAATATTGATAAAAAAAATTAGAAGACTAACAGCTTCTAATATAGCTTGTTGGAGTCGTGACATAGGAATATAAGTGTCTATTCCATACTATATGACTAACTTGAATATCTGCATAATTATGAAAAACATTTTCATTTTTTTGTAACTACATCTATTGAAAAAGTATTTGAGATAAGACTTTTAAAAGAATTTTATTCTTGAGAAAGTCTCTTCTTGTTTAACAATGCCTCATAAAGTTTTTACTTTGAAGGAAAAAATTGAACTTTTAAACTATTCCAAACATCAAAAAAGCAATGTCTAAAAATTGGCCGAAAACTTTAAAGTTGGAAAGACTCAGGCAGCAGACATCATTAAAAATGGAGAATAATTTATGAAACTTCGATGCGAAAATGGAAATAAAAACCAAATTAGAATGTCTTCGGAGAACAGAGCTGAATTTAAAATTGACAGATGCGTTTTTGAATTTTTTTTTTCAAGTTAGAAGCAAAAAATTTCTAGTATCAGGACCAATATTACACGAAAAGGCTAGAGAGGCAGCTGAGAAATTGGAGATAAAGAATTTTAAAGCTTCTAATGGATGATTAGAAGTTCAGAAAGAAGTATATGATTTCTTTTAAACCAATAAGCGGAGAGTCCGCTTCCGTGGCTACTGACATGGTAAAGGAATGGTTGGAGAAGCTACCTTCCTTATTGAAGGACTATGCACCCGATGATGCATTAAATGCTGATGAGACTGGTATTTTTTTCCGAGCATTGCCTGAAAAAACTTTGTGTTTAAAAGGTGAAAAGTAAGATGGAGGTAAAATATCAAAAGAAAGATTGACGATTTTACTTTCAGCAAGTATGACTGGAGAACAAGAGCCCCCATTGATTATAAGAAAATCAAATAGGCCCAGGTGTTTTAAAGGAATGAATTTTTTAGGCTTAGAATACAATAGAAAGAAAATCGACGAGCATGGATGACCCAGGCTTTTATGACTGAGTGGTTGCTTAAACTTGATAGAAAAATGGGCCGTAAAAACAAGAAAGTTCTTTTTCTTGATAAAGCAGCATCTCACCCAAACATTAATCTGAAGAATGTAAAAATTGCATTCTTTTCTCCAAATGTTAGATTTGTTTGCCAACCACTTGACAAAGTGTTACTAAAAACTTTAAAGTGTTTCATTGGCAACTAATTTTAATACACTTGATTACAAACTTAGATGGGCCAAATAAAGAAAACATAAAAATTGATGTTTTACAATCTTTGTGGATAATAGCAGCCTGGGAAAAAAGCAAAAAGCTCAACCATTTTAAACTGTTTAACTAAGGCAGGCTCCAAAAAAGATACATCAGAATGCCATATCCTTACAGATGTTTCGATGACACAAATTCTGATGATTCCTTTTCTGAATTAACAAATTTGATTCGCTTGACTAGAGAAAGTGTTGTCAATGGTAATGATTTTATAAACATTGATGAAAATATTAAATGTCAAAAAAATGATTTAAATATGGACGAAATTGTTGATGTTTGCAAATAATGATGCCGAGAGTGAAAATGAAGACACTGATACTCAACTGCTTTCTGAATACGATCCAAAAGTGAAAACTTTAAGTGATGCTTAAACTTGTATTGAGGAACTGAGAAATTTTTATTTATCAAAAAATGATGAAATTGGTGCTAAATGATAAAAAATATACCATGAAGATATGGTGAGTCACAGTCGCTTAAAACAAACTTCTGTCACATCTTTCCTTTCAACTGGATAATAGTATAACAAAGGCATATATCAGATTTCTTAATCTTCTCTTTTTGTACCATAAATATTATAATTTCGTTATGTTTAAATAAATGTTAATGTAAATAGTTGTTGATTATTTAACTATTTCTAAATCATTCCAATTATTCTAAAAACAATTTATGGCTTGAGTATTGATTCTTTATTAATGTACCCTCCCCCTATAGAGAAAATTTTTTTTGGTCCCGAGAGTGTCCTCTTAATGGAGGTTTCACTGTTTATATATAAATGTTTAAAATTACAGAAAGTTGTGACTTTGTGAGTTGCCAACAGCAAAAGTGGATAAACAAAAAACAGAAGAAAAAGAAAAAACATTGCTCAGAACTTATTCCAATGTACTTAATATTTATTTGTGACTTTAGTCTTGTGTAAAGAAGTCAGTAATTATATGGGTAGTTTAATTTAAAGAAACATTAAACAGATGCAAGTCAAAACACCCTATCACATAAATTTAATAATTTCTCCTTTTTTTAATTTAAAGGGATTTAACTATATTGTCTGCAATCTCTTTCTTTATGTAAATTAAAAAATTTTTTTTATTTGCTCTTTATTTTAAAATATCTCTAATTTAGTTTCCAATAAAAATTATTAAACTGTAACGAAGAAAATCTAAAGATCAAAACCAAGTGAGCCTAATTACTATAAATAAACTTAAATTTAATATCAAGAGAATTAACTGTACACTAAGCAAAAAAAAGTTTTGATTTTAAAAGCTTCTTTTATATTTTTTTATTTTTGTTAAAGAAAAATGAAAAAAAAAATATAATAATGGGATTAACTAAAGTTCAGGTTTTCTGAAAGCTTTAAATAAGAAAATTCAGATGCTAATCTTCATGAAAAAAATTACCCTTTTGAATGTTACTATCAATTTTCTGTCATTTGTTTTTATTAACTTCCTGAACTTTTTGTTACTTAAACTTTTTAGTTTGTCAGACTTTTATTGGATTTACTTATCAAACTAAAAAATAAATTTTAGAAAAAATATTTTAATGTTCAAAAAATTTTCTAGTGTGTCTCAAAAGAACGAGAATTCTCGATAAATCAAGAGAAACAGAAGTCTAGTAGTCTACTTTTTTTTTCTGAACAGTTGGCACAACATTATATGTTCTATATAAATAATTCTTGTAGAAACCTCTGTTAAAAACTATAAATTAACTTACAACTCAAAATATTAAAAACAACCCTAATTAATTTAATTTACTTTCAATAGAACAAGCCTTTCACTTAAATTTCTCTTTTGTTTCTTGACAGGATTTATACCTTACAAATTCCAAATATTAAACATTTAGCTAACAGATCGATACATTTATTTAAGTTTATCACAAATATTACATTTTATTATGTGAACTTCTACGCGACTTGTAGATGCAATGCAACTTGTGGAACTGCTACAAGTTGTTACTAGTGAGACCATCATTTTAGCTTTGGAAATTTTGATAATAAAAACAAAAGAGATAATTCCTATATATTCAATACATATTTGAAATATGTGAATAAGCAACATAAGATAACAAATATAATTAAAAAAATACCAAATTTTCTGCAAGACGTTTTCTCTTCTTCTGTGCTAAATATTTTCTTCGATCTAAAACTCTTCGTTTCTAAAAATTTTTTAAAGTAATTTCAGTAATACGATTATCAATAAAAACATCATTAACTTTTTTCAAAATTAAAAATATTATAATTGGTTGGCGGGTTATTCAAGGTAAAATGTTTTACCTTTTATTTCTCCCTGTTTATTCAATGGAAGAAAAAAGATGAAGGAAATTTAATGAAAAAAATCTTAAAATATGACCTTTTAGTATAGTGTATTTGGATGTAAAGAAAAAATTACTTTTAAAATTATCATATGAGTAAATAAGTTGAACCATTTTATCTTGAACCTCTTTATCTCGAAAATCTCTATATCTCAAAAATTCCCTACATCTACTGTCTAAAATCAATGTATTTTACATGCTTATGTCGAAATTTTTTTTTTAAAACCTCCGTTCCTTGAATTTCTAATAATAGAGCACAGATGTCAAAACTTTCTTTATCAGTGCAGAGATGAATTTCGTGACACCACAGAAAGTTGGGATGAACAGGTTGGGGTGCTTCTTGGAATTTCAATCACTATCCCTGCACTTCCTTAACTAGAAAGGAATACAATGTTTCAGGCAGTAAGTGAGGGGTTAATGAGTAGTGACCACCAGGGGTTAGCTTTTCAACATAGATAAGAAAGCTAAGAATAGAAACCTCAAAATTGCAAGACCACAGAATTAAAGTGAACTATAGAAAACCATTGGTATGCAAACTTGTAAATGCCATTGATGAAAAAAGTTTTCTTCCAAAAATAAAGATTTTAGATGCTATCAGAATTACTGTTTTGCCAGTGTCTAAAAACTATCCAAAATGGTTTAAAGATTAGCAATGAAGATGATGAACAAGAGGGTGAAAGCATCAGAAAGGAAGAAGAAACTGTTGATGCTGAAAATTCAGTGCCAGGTTCGCCAAAGAAATGCAATAAAAACTGGATTTAATGTTGACATTGATTTTGAAGATTTTCACAAGTTGAAAACTGCCTGGCAACATGCGGCACATTGACAGATGCTGAAATTATATATAATGTCAAAGGAATATCAAATGAAGAAGCTGAAGATCATATTGATGAACCAAAAGTGAATGCAAAAGAGGTAGAATTCTAATTAACTTTTTTTGAATCCCAGGAAAATGTTGGCTACGAGGGATTTGCGCTCTTTCTAACCTTAAAAGAATAATCGAAACAAATAAGGTTATACGTCAGAAATCTTCTAAAATTTATTTTTAGCGTAAAATGTATGTTAAAAACAATTTATGTTAATAGATGTGTGTAGTATAATTAATTTAAAGAAATGCCTATTTTTTTCTACTAAAAAGAATTAAGGCACTTTTAATAGAATTTTTAAAATAAATTTAATTTTTTAAAGTACCTGTATAACTCGAAACCTCTAAATCTCAAATTTTTCACCTTTCCCATGAGATTCGAGATATACAGGTTCAACAGTATAAGTAAGAAAACAATTTAAAGATAATGGCATAGAATTATGAATTATTAAAACATAAGATAACAAATATAACTAAACAAATACCACAATTTCTGTAAGCGACTTATAGAACATTCTCTTCCTCTGTACAAATCCAGTTTGTTTCTAAAAAATTTTTTGAATAATTTCAGTAACAGGATTTTCAATAAAAACATCATGAACTTTTTTCAAAATTAAAAATACATTTAAAATATTATAATTGAAAATATATCATAAAGTTGCAATGTAGGTAGTCAGAGAGATATGGTTAATTCTTATCCCAATAATAAAATCAAGTGATTGGCGGGTGATTCAAGGTAAAATTTTTTACCTTTCATTTCTCCTTGTTATTTCAATGGAAGAAAAAATGATGTAGGAAATTTAATGAAAAAAAATCTGAAAATATGACCTTTTAGTGTGGTGCGTTTGGATGTAGAGAAAACTTTACTTTTAAAACTATCATGAGTAAACATAAAAAGTAAGAAAACAATTTAAAAACAAAGATATAGAATTGTGAATTATTAAAACATATCTTTTTTAAATTTTCGTTGATATAAAACTAGATCCTAGGCATAGTTTTGGCAACATTTTCGTTCCTTTCCTGCTTTGTTTATGTATGTTGAATTCTTTTAACTTTTAATACCACATTTGAAAAAATAAATTATATATTATTCTTTTTAATTTCAGCAGTTGCTTTAAGATAATTTAGTTTATAAAATACATTTACTAAGAGAGAATAGGAGTAATGAAATATTATTTTAAGACAATGCGATAAATTGAGCACACTTTTTAACAATTTATATTTTCCTGATAAAATGGTCAGTTGCTATTTTAATGTAATAAAATATTGAAAAAAAAATTAGAAGACGAACAGCTTCTAATATAGCTTGTTAATCATATCATTAGTGGTGTAATAAAATCCAAAAGTTTAAAAAAGTGAAGTACATTTTTTAAAACGTTTTTAGGTGATAAAATTTTTTCTTTACCCTCACTTTCTTAAATCCTTGACATGTTTAAAATCCTTTTTCTTAGAAATATTTTTAAACATTCCAAAAGTTTGAAAAGAGATTTATGCTGTACAAGATGGCAGAGTCTTGTGAAATCTGTGACGGCAGAGACTCTGACAGGGTGTGTAGCCAGATTTTTCAACCAAACATAAGTACCTTTTAAGTACTTTTCAAGCACTCAAAAAATATTTTTAATCATTTTAGAAAAAAAAAAAAAAAAATTATAACTAGAATCTGTGCAGTAATAAAAATTACTTTTTTTATCGTTCTTAATTTATAAATATAAAATCAATATAAGTATTTAATTTTAATTTTTGGGTTAATTTTTTGCTTCAAATATGAAAAAGTACTGACACCTAGTAGAAATAAACTATTTTTAAATACATTACAAACAGTCTGGTGTAGCTACCTGGTGTACAGTTTGAAAAATAAACATAATTCCGGGCATAAGAAATAGATTGTTTTTGGCTCATCAGTTTTGAACACCCTAGCTCGGAAATGCCACTTGCAGAAGAAACAAAATCTAAAACATGCCGTCATTTCGACAGGTGCATGAAGGAATGGGCTAGAAAAAATTTAATTTCAAGCAACTTTTGCAAGAGATTTCTATTTCATTATTTAATTTATTTATCTGCAACATTAGTAAATAATTCCATTTTTTTTTTTGTTTCATTATCAAGATAGAACCCACTGACTGTCAACCAGATCCATGCATCCAATGAAATATTATATGAAGTTAGGTTAGCGACTATAACTGCCACAATTTTTGCTAATCAAAAATGATAAAATGTAGTTTTTTCACAATTTATTATGTAAGAGCATGTTTTTTTTTAGTATTTTAATAAAGATTTAGACTTGTTTTGAGTTGAAAAGTAATTTCAAAAGAGTACCATATATCAATAGAACTATAAATTTTATTACCATATGCATTCTAATTTGTTAAAAACTAGACAACTGGTCATCCGTTTTCATTAGTAGCTGAGTTTTCTATCTATATCTACTTTTTGTGAATAATTAGAAGGAATTTCCAGCTTTTTTCCGCCTGTAATAGACGTTTTATCAATTACTAGGGCCGTTGAATATTCCCGCACATCTTACAGTTTGTTCTACAAATCATTTTATATCTTGTGTCTGATGAATTCAGGGCATTATTTTATGTTCCCAATTAAAGTGATTTCTACTTGCTTACAATGTTCATGAAAATTTTGCAAAAATAAGTAAAATAAATGCTTTGCTATTTAACAAAAATCCACTAATTTTGTATAAAAACCATCGATGTTACCTAACTGTGTATGAAAATCGAAAACCTCGGTATGTCACTTATTAGTAACCAACGCTAGCAAACATGCAATTAAACCGCGTTTGAGTCATGAACTACAAGTTAAACATTTATTGCCTGAATTCACCAAAATAGAAATTAAAATCATCCTCAAAAGGAAGGTTTGCTGGAGAGAACGAGAACTAACGATTTGTAACCACTTTTTTATAAGGAAAATGAAATTTCTATGTGCAACAATTGTCTCTGAAAAAACAAAATATAAATAAATATCACTATATATATATATTCATGTGTGCATTAAAATAATCATATTAAGTATAATATAATAAATTATATACTATTTTTCAAAGATGTAAATATTATGTTTTATTAAATTTAGTGCAAAAATAGCGAAAAGTTTCAAATCCTTAAGCAATAAACATTCAACGTTCATGATTCAAACGTGTTATATTTCTAAAAGAAATTTTAACGTTTTTCAGCATCATATTAACCAATTTAATTTAGGGCCTATCCATGATCCCTTCACGTTTTAACGTTCATCCAGAAGGTGACTGTCTTCCCGTGTTAATAATCAAAACAAAGTTGTTAGGAAAACAGTAGTCCAAAGGTTATTGAAGTCCTAAATTTAAAAATTAATATATATAACTACATGAGAATTGTTTTTAATGAATTTAAACATTTTTTCTTTAAAAAAATCTAAGTGATTTAAGTCAGTCAACCCTGCTAATAATTGTAATAAAACTATACAGAGCACTATACAACAACAAAAAATGCTTACCCTTTTTTGTTTTACAAATCCCCTAATACTTCTGGGGGTTTTTGGAAAAAGATTTTGTAGAGCGTAATGGCATGGATCCACTCTTTTCATATTAGAATTAATAACTCGTTCTTTTGGAAGTTCTTCTTTGGTAAGTACGTAATCCTGTTAAAAAAGAGTAAATTTAAATTTATTGAAATTGTATAGTAAAAGAATACACATTTCAAGAAAATTACAGCCATAGAAACGATGGGTAAATAATATTTTTTGATAATTATTCCAGTTAAAGGTGTATATTAGAGAATACAATTTTGTATGTGTATAAAAGTTTCATAATATATTTTGCAAATGAAACATTTTTATAAGCCAAAAATTACAAAACAACAAAACCCCAAAGTAAAGTGAAATTAATAATTGCAAATAAGTGCACAGTTTGATTTTGAGGAAGTTGCTAATGTGATTTATTATCCAACAAAGGTGCCATTAAAATAATTAGCATATTTGCTTTTTTTTTCTTTTTAATGTTAGCGTATGTTGATTTAAACATTTAAATGACAAATTCACCAACACAATACCATAAAATCATGTATAAAATTAACAGAGACAAAAATTAAATTTATTCTCACTTCAGCAATAAGAGTTTACAATACTTACATATTGCTGTAATTTTTGATTGTATGATTTTAAATCTCAAAATTCTATTTATTTAAAAGGTAGACACCTCATTTTCAATTTAAGATGTGCAATTTTCACTATTGTCTAGACTAGAGAGCCTAGAGTAAAAGAGAGTGGACAAGGGAGAAACGATTCCTGATTGGTGGAAAGAAAAACTTTACCGCCGGAGGCGAGAGTGGAAAATTCGCCATTGGATTTACACGGAGTGAAAATTATCTGACTCAAAAAAATTATGTTCTGTATTAATAAATGCATGTAATAAGTTCATTACTTACTTTTTTTCAATAAGAAACTTCACAGTTACAGTAAATGTTAAAATTATGGCTGAAAATTTGGATAGTTGTTAGTTATTAGAATTTATCCTTATTATCACTTACTTGCGTGCATATAAAGTTATGTTTATCTCATTGTAAAGAGAACAAGGTGATGAAATAACTAATGGTTAGATAAGAATAAATGTATTTACTTTTAATGCACATAATTTCTATCTAAATTACTTATAAATTTTAAGATTTGAGCATCTTTTTATCAAAACTTCAGAAGTGCAGAGTTTGGCGATATTACTTTGACATGTTGGCGCGTTACAACGTTACAATGCGCATTACAAAGTAGCATTTATTTACTTTTCGTTACCAACTGTATAAAATGCTAGTTTGTTTTAAATTTCAACTAATTATGGAAATTTTTGTTTACAATTTGTTGAAATAAACAATACCTTTTCAGGTGAATATGCGATAATTTTTTCCAGAAAAAGTAATAAATAATAATAAATTATATAATTTGTATTATTAATTATTATTTCTGAAATAAATGGCATAATCATTATTAATTTTTATATTTTATTTAAGGCGTTTATTAAAAGCTGAAGTCTTTTCATAAGTCTTTTTTTTTTCGTTGACGTTAATTTTTTAACAATTTCAGATGCTAGACAATGTTTCCTAAAAAATCTGTAATATCATGTGCCTTCCAATCTTAAAGTTTATATTAATGATACTTTAGTATATACTCTTAGAATAACAGAACCTTCAGAATAACACCAAATGAGCGAGTGGCGCCAATTTCGGTGTATCAGCTGGCAACCCCCTTGGACAAAAATCTGACGGCAGTGCATGCGCTCTTGGATATTGTCATCACTCTTTTCAATACAGGCACTCTAGTCTAGACTAATTTAACTTTTCTTTTTCTAGTGTAGGTATGGAAATTAAACTTTTTCCACTAAAATAATTATATTTTCTTTTTATTTAGGATTTTAGGTCTTTAATTTCAGTTTATAAAAGCATGCAACTATGTATACTTTTTTATCCACATTATAGCAACAATTCATATTTAATTTTTAAAAATTTTTAGAAAATAATCTGAAACTAAAATGTATGGTATTAGCCTTTGTGGATTTTATACTGGGGCAGGCAACTGATCTTCTAACAGTGATGAAAGAAATGCATGGGGCAAAAAATGTTGAGAATTATTGCTTTAAGATGTTAAAACATCTCTAAGTTTTCAACCACTTACATAATTCAAAACTCTACAATAACAGAGAGTCAAAAATTATTTGGCACTAATTTCAATAAAAATAAAACTGCTAAACAGTGTGTTTTAAAGATTCTGAAGCTGTCTATGTCTACTAAAGCATGAAAAAATAAATTTTAAGGTTTATGTTTTTATATTTGTAATGTCATAAGACTATGCCCATTAAAAATATTACCTATAATAAATATATATACTAGAATACTTGAGGTTATATTCTCATTAATAAAACTAACGATTTTCTTTTTTAACCTTGAGTGCATTAATTGCTATTAATCTTGTTGCTATGTATCTATATGTTTCTGAAATCAAGATTTAGGGTAGATATAAACTGAGTGGCAAAATTATTATGACCACCCCTTCTATACACTGTTGAACCACCTTTAGCCTGTTATACTGCTAGAATTCTTCTTGGCACAGATTCTATGAGATGTTGGTAGGTGGTAGGAGGAATTTGACCCCATATCCAATGAACTGCACTTTTCAGTTCCATCAGATTGGATGGCACTGGATCCAGCTGTCTGATTCCCTGTTCGATCTCATACCCCAAATTTTTAATTGGATTGAGATCTGGTGATTGTGCGGGCCAATGAAGCAAGGTAAAGTCACCTTCATGTTCTTCAAACTATCTGACAGCAATACGAGCTGTATGCCAAGGAGCATCGTCTTGCTGAAAATATTCATGCTTGGAAGGGTACACCATTAACATAACAGGGTGCACCTGATCTGCGTTAACACTTAAATACCCTTGAGCATTCAGACATTGTTCTACAGGAATCAAAGAAACCATGTAATGCCAAGAAAACACCCGTCAAACCATAACATTGCCTCTACCAACTCTAAGTATTGTGGCAATGCAGTTGAGGTCCATGCTTTCATGTTGTTTTTGCCGTATCTGAATCTTGCCATTAGCATAGTGTAATTGAAAATGCGATTCATCAGAGCACACGACCCTTTTCTAGTCATCTACTGTTCAATCCTTATGCTCCTTTTCAAACTGGAGTCCTCTGCTCTAGTTCAAGGTGGACAGCAGAAGCTCTCAAACAGGTCGTCGGCTCCCATAGCCTATACGGTGTAATATGTGATGCACAGCTCATTGAGAGATGCTTGCAGTTGCACCTTCATTAAGATTCTCCACTATTTGGCATACTGTCCCTCTTCTGTTGAACTAGACAACTCTGGCAAGTTTCCTTTCAGCTCGAGCATTCAGTAGCTTATGAAGACTACAAGCATGACTTTGAGACCCGGTTTTCTGGTTGATAGTTCACTCTCTGTATACATTAATAACAGTTGCTCTCAAACACTTCACAAGAGCAGCCATTTTGCTGATACGGGTTCCGGCATTTCGAGCGCTTACAATCATCCCGTTTTCAAACTCAGTTAAGTTGAGTTTTTCAGCCATATTTTCCCATGCAACATAGTGCAATTGATGGTTCACTAGCCTTGCATTCCCTTGTTGTAGCTATCTTGCCCTCTAGTGGTAACACTGTAATGCAATAGCTCATTTTGCATAAAACTGTCAGGTGGTCATAATAATTTGGCCACTCACTGAAGATTTTTATAATTTTCTGGTAGAAATATTGTAATTTAAAATATAAAAAGCAATTTTCTACAACATTGTGACTACATCAGCAAGACAATTCAAGGAAAAAAATAATAATTCGTTTAAAATTCATCTTCCTTTTCTAAAATTAAGTTAAGAGCACTGTTTTCAGTATCGCCCAGGGTGTGGAAACGTTTTTCGCAGCCATTGGCCAAGATCCGAACGATTTTTTAAGTATTAATAAAACGGTGAAAAAATAAATATTTTTGATCAATTTGTATTTACCAAAAATTTTAAAATTTAAAAAAATTCAGTAAAAATTTCATAAAACTTAGGGACTGTTTTTGAAATGCTAAAGTGAAAGCTAAGTTTAAATATTTTTTAAGAAATCTTGAGAAAACTTAGCTACCAATTTTTAATTTATTTTCTCAGCCAAAGTAGCAGTCTTTTTTAGTAATAATATGGCCTATCCTTCAGCCACATAATTGGATAGCCAGCAGCCTACTGCAACTAATTATTGTTTGCATGTTATGCTTACATTCTAAAACTTTTTTTTTAAAAAAAATTTAAGAATAGTCCCGATGAGTTTTAAGAGGTTTTAAAAGTTTAAGAATAATCCAATACAGATGAAGATAAAAAAGCTCTGACTGAGGATTTCAATGTGGATGAATCAAATTATTGTTTACGCACAATAACAGTTTAAAACTTTTTTTTTCTAAACTAACAGTATATATCAGTTGATATAATTTTTGATTCTTCAATCCATCAGACTTCCACTACTCTTTATCATTTTCAACCATAAACCTCTTAAGGGTGTGTTGGAGTCAGGAAAAACTTTGATGAAACACCTGGAGAAATATAACCAGGTGTTTTTCTTTCCCCCAAGTAGTACAGTTAAGTCGTCAATCATGTCAATACCCCCATTTCACACTGTCTGGGAGGTCTGACCAAGGAGGTCATGCCTTACTTCAGAAAAGGACTAAAAAGCAGGAATTTCTTATTTTCCTGGTGAATGAAATAAGCAGTTGTTCCTTTTATAACAAAAAAATTAAACTTAAATCTTATCAATTTAATTATTTAAAATTATAAATTTCAATAAAAATTTTTTTTACAGTTATTTCTTTTACTTCGTTATTCACTCTTTAAATTTTATTCATTACTGTTACATGCATAGTGTTTTAAATTCTAAGCGTGGTTCTACTATTCATTGTTACTTTTTTCCGATTTTTTAAATTTAGATAATTTCAGTGTTTTCAAGCTTAAATTCTAAGAAGATTCATTCATAAAGCTTATATGTGTTTTGTGTTCTTTCTACAATTCTAAGTAAAGCGTAATATTTTATAGTTATATTTGTTATTTTTAAAGTTATCATAGTTATTTTCTTTTCCTTCAATAGTTTATTATCATCTCAACAGCACTCCCA